CCTCTGGCAGCTTAGTATGTAATGTACTCCTGTGCTCTGACGGAGTTGTGCATGGTTTGCCATAGTGAATGTCCTCACTAAGTTGCAACAATTTCCAGGGTTGTTGGGTCTGCAATGCCCTGCCTACTAATATGCTGATGACCCTCGTTGGGCTTGCGACTCGTGATGGCATGGGATGCCGGAGCATGAACAGCAATGCAGGCAGGGATGTGCCTTAGTAGATATTTAGCATACATGCCGCTGTAAATATATATTGCATACAAGCCGCTTTGATGCGGCAAAGAAGTTGCACAGTTATGCGTAATCTTGCTCATAACAACTTGCACACAAACTTGGAGCTGAGAAACGTTTCCTTGGCTTGTGTGTGTTACATGGGTGTGTGTGACCCCATACCTGTAGAACTACCCATACGAGCCAAGGCCCAAGGGCAAGACATGAACGCCTAAAAGCCACGAAGTAAAGGAAACACCGCATTTTCAGCCCAACTAGCACCCAAAGGGGATAACTGAGTTATGGTGAGCCCACATACATTCCAACATCCTCGCCAGATGTGCTGGCTCCGGAGCCCATTTCATGGCCCTCAACATGCTCTGTTGATAATTGAATCTTTCTTCCGCATGAATATCAATATACGTTTTGTTTGAGCACATCAGGGCAACTGGTGATTTTCCACAGCAGTTTACCAAAACGGTGGTATCCCCTATTTTGAAGAAGGGTGACCCGTTGGTGGCAGGAAATTATCGGGGCATTGCAGTTGGAGGAGCACTTGCGAAATGCTATGCGTCAGTCATCCTTAACCGCCTGGTACGTGCTGGGGAAATACTGGACCTGCGGCACCCATGCCAAGCGGGTTTCAGGCGGGGTTTTGGCACTGCTCACCACCTCTTTGTCAAGCAACACCTGGTCAGGCGGCATCGCATCGGGGGACAACAGCCGTTGATAATAGTACAGATTTACTTTGAGAAGGCCTTTGGTAGGGTGCCTCGCGAGCACATGTGGCTTCGGTTGCAGGAGAGGGGGATTAGCGGCCCCATGCTAGGTGCTCTGAGAAAAGCATACGAGAAGGTGTCCATGGTGATGAAGGTAAATGAGAAAGTGGGGGGAGAGTTTGAGTCTAAGCAAGGAGTGAAGCAAGGGTGTCCTTTATCTACGGAGTTGTTTGGACTCTTCATCGAGACATTAGCCGATCTGATTGATACTCATGACCTTGTAGAAGCTGGTGCACGTAAGTATGACGCACCCCTTGCGGACAGCAAGCGCGTCTCCATACTGTTGTATGCAGACGATGTTAGTCTGCTAGCGACGTCACTAGAGCGAATGTCTGAGTTGCTACATCTTGTGGACTTGTTTTGTGAAGCTTTTGGGATGCGACCAAATGTCTCAAAGTGTGAAAGGCTTGTTTTTGCATGTGACGGCACGCAGCAGTCGGAACTTAGCGGGAGATGTCAACAGTTACGGCTATCAGGCCAGGTAGTACCTGCCAAAGATAGCGCTCGCTATCTGGGCTTGGTATATGGGCCAGAACGGCCTTTTAGTGCGTGCCGTCAGCAGTTGTGTGATACAGGTCGGTCCGCTATGTTTTCCTTAAGCGCAAAGCTGGACAAAATGAAGCTGTTTGCCCCCGATGTGCGAATGCGGTGTTTTGCAACCCAAGCCCGAGCAATTCTGTTGTATGGCTGCCAGGCGTGGGGCCCTTTTGCGCTGGCAGAGGTTGTGGACAGGGCGGGAAGGCGGCGGGATAAAGCCAACCTTGCGGAGGGCATGTTCGAAGCCTGTTTGAAGGATAGTGCAGTCCAGCTGCAGATTCATGAGGCAGGTAGTGGGGACGGCACGGCCATCCCACAGGCTGTTGTACGCGGAGCTGGCTGAACTCCCCTTACAATATTACATGGTGAAGCAGATTCTCCGTTTCTGGAACCGCCTTCAAAAGCAAGTGGGATCCATTGCTCATGCCGTTTTACGGCAGGAGATAACCGATGCCCTGACCAACCCGGAATGGGAGGGTTGGGGAATCTCAATGTTACGACTGTTTTCCTTCTTGGAGTGCGACATTTGGAGCGGAATACCGCAAGAAGTCGTGGGGGTAAAGGAGCGTGTTGACTGGTTGAGTAGACCTCTACCCGAAGGAGCGATAATAACGGCACTAAGAGAGCGTTTGATGAGTGGCTGGGACCATACGCGTCTGACTGTCTTGCCAGAGGAGTACCCATCAGATGGGAAGCAACCGGGAGTGCAAATGGCGAAGTATGAGCACTGGATGGGGCTGCCCTTTTCGGGAGCCGCAGCCGTCATGTGGCCAACACATGCTAAGGTTTTCATTCCTCGTTTAGCACATCGTAAGCTAATGCAGTTTCGTTTATGTTGCTGGGCTTTGGAGGCAAACAGAGCACGAAGGGGCAAGTACCATGTCCCCAGGGGGCAGCGGTTTTGCCACTGTTGTGGTACTAATAGCCGAATTGAGGATGAAAAACACGTGTTATTGGAATGCCCAGCCTATAATGATATTCGCGCTGAAGAGGGATTCGATCATCAACAGAGCATGTTGGAGGCCATGCAATGGGAACCCGCACGTCTGGCGAGGATGTTGGAACGTATGTGGGCTCACCGAAACTCAATTACCCCCTTTGGACGCTAGTCTGGGCTGATGTGCGGTGTTTTTTCTTTTCTCCGTGGCTTTTAGGCGTTGTAGTATTGCCCTTGGGCCTTCGGCTCGTATGGGTAGTCTTACAGGTATGGGGTCACGCACCCCCAACCATGTAACACACACACACACACGCAATGGATGCGAGACTTACGCCTACATCCCCTCTATGAGCCTCCTGGATCGTCTGGAAGCTATAAGCTCTTGCAACAAATAAAACAAACATGCACGGAAGCAACAAGCACTCCACGTCCTCTACCTTTTTAGTATCCTGGGTATCACGGGATCTGACATCCGCCGATCGGTACTTTTCCTGGAAAAGACGTGATACAACAAACTCCCCATAATTTCCTCACCACTACTCCACATGTGCAGGTTATGGCAATATCTGACACAAGTTATGTCCGGTATGGTGGACCTTGCAACAACCCATCACACACCAAGCGACCGCAAACTCACACATACATCGTGTTAAATGCACTCACAGTGTAGTTTGCCTTGTGAGATGATGCTATCATGGTGATTGCGGGCGTCGACACAGGCTCCACAGCATCACAAGTTACAAATTACAAGTTCCACACAAGTGCGGGGGTGTCCGTAAAATCCAGGGGGGCCATAGACGGTAAATCGTTCTAAGTGCGGTTACGTGGTGGACCATCATCATCCTCCCTCGTCCGCTTGAGGACGAAGCGCCTTAGAGCAACGTGCCGGGTCTCACAGACTTCCGAGAGGAACGTGGCTACCGCCAGGGGTGGGGCCTCGGTCATAATCGTGCGCATGTTGCGCCTTGAAACGCGAGGTCACGTTCGTACTTAGCCCGTGTACTAGTGTACGCCGGGCATTCAAAAAGACATGCATTTCGTCTTCAACCGCCCCGCAATCACAGAGCCTGCAGGTGCGCGCTGTGCGCTCACAGCCGTTAGATCGGTTAATCTCTAACTCCCAACAGCCTAACCGGAAACGCATAAGCATTTGATGCAAACGTTGGGGCATGGCGATTCCAGCGTGGGCCAACCACTTATGCCGCGTGCCCCTAAGTGGGGGCGCCCCCATCCAGTTCAGATAGCGACATGCCTTGACGCCAGTACTTCCACTTGGGAAGGTGCGTGGGTCGCCTAGGGTATCCGAGCACTCCCACCGGGCGTCGAGACGCCAAGCGAAGTCTTTAAGTAAGCTTCCCACTGGCAACTTAACGGTGGCGTAATGCGCATCGATGAGGTCGTCACCTCGCAGGCCGGCTGGGGGCTCAGCTCCCAAACTCCTAAGGAAAGCTAGGACCTTGCCCGTCCAGCACTCAGTAACACCCCCCAGAGCCAGCTCAAGGTCGACAATGAAGGCCCGGTGGCACAGCGTCCCCGGCCTCTTGACAACAGTGTTCCAGAACCTTAGCACAAGATTGGCCCAATGGAACTGGAGCGGCCTCTGTGACAGCTCGCGATAAAGCGAAACCATACTCGGGCTCCTCGCTCCTACCACTGACCGCATGTACGCGCACTGCTCCTGCACCATAGGGTTCGTCATTGCGCGCTCGAAATTCACACCGATAAAATCAGGTCCCCAAACTTGCGCTCCATACGAAAACACCGGCACAAGAGCGCGTTATAGAGGGACATGCACAGCTTAGGGGTACTAATTTTCTTATCTCGACACAGGGCACTGAGGCCAAACGTGGCACGTTTCCCTGCTGCTAGTAACTGTTTGGCGCAGGCTGAGAACTGTGTGCCTGGGCCGTAATGTAGCCCGAGATATCGCGCCGTCTCGTTACCAGCCAGTACCCTCAAACACGCCCCACATAACCGGTACTCCGCTTCCATAAGGCGCTTCTGTTCCCGTGCTGTGCCCCCAAAAATGAGGACCTCACACTTGGCTGCGTTCGCGGCCATTCCCGTCGCCTTGCAATAGGCCTCGAGGAGTCCGAGTAAGCATTGGCCTCTCTCGTGGCCAGTTGCAACTTATGACGCATCATCGACAAAAAGCAATTTGGTGAGCTCACCGCCCGCCAGGCTTACACCCTGCTCACGGAGGATGTTCCATCGGTCAGGAAGGCGCGGCAGTCGGTATCGTGGACCTGGATGTAAATGAGCGAACACCTCAATGAATAATCCGAAAAGGGTGACACTAAGGGGGCACCTTTGCTTTACGCCCCGCCCCACGGAGAATTCAGGGTCCAACTGACTACCCAGCTTGACCCGAACCTTCACGTCTGCGTCGCTGGTCTTCAGTGGATGTAGGATACGACCGTGTAACCCGTACGACTCAAGGAACCGCCAGAGCATCTCGTGGTCGACCGAATCAAACGCCTTACTGAATCAATTTGCATGATGATAAGCGGCTTAGCTCCGGCCGCCGTGTGCTAAGCAATGAGATCCCGCAGCGTAAGTAGGTGGTGCTCAGTGCCGAAACCATGCCTACAACCCGCCTGGCGAGCGGCACGAAGCCCATTGTCTTCACAAACTTTGGTGAGCCGCCTCCCAACAAGGTTGGCGTGGAGCTTGCACAAAGGATCCCCAACCGCAATACCACGATATTTATCGCAACAGGATGCGTCACCAAGGACAGGGGAAAGGGGGCTGGTCGTGAATCCTCGCGGGTACTCACCTCCATAAATACGGTTGTACAATGCCGTCAAGTACGATGCCAAAGCGAACACGGGCCGCTGCCCTTCACTCTCCCTGATTGCGTACTTATAATACTCAGCCGGGATTCCCTCCAGGCCCGCGGATTTATTATTACGCATGGCGCTGAGGCCAGTAATAATTTCAGTTTCCATGAAATCAGTGTTAAGCCACGCCGACAACCTTCGACGGTGCTCTACTCGATCCACATTGATCCAGCTAAATTGGCTATTTCCTGCCCAACAAGCCTCTTCTACACGCTCCTTGCCTGGTCGAAATTCATCACAGCGCAGTATGTGGGCAACCAGGGTATCAGCCTCGCCACTGAAGGCGCGACGCTCGTCCCACTACCGTTAAGCACTCGTTGCTAATGTCTACCTTCTCCCATACACCACTGCCTGGCTCAGTGAGCGCCATTAGGTGTGTGCCCCGCCATGAGGGTGCCCGCTGCCTGCCGGCCAAGTGCCGGAAAACATCCTGGTACCCCCTCTTGTACGACTCACCGCTGGCCGTAAGCACCAATGTCACCCGTACCGCCGGGAATGACTCCCCCGTTCCCTCGCCCTCCGCATCCAGGCCCAGCTGTTTCCGTATCCCGTATAGTGCTTGGTACGCCGCTGGGGTTGTTGTGATGCGAGCCCGTTGCGTCGTTCGCTTACTGTTGCGTGCGGCAATACTGGGGTGTCCCTCAACAGTGCAGTCCTTGAACGCGACCCTGATGCTCATCAGTTGCTCTACCCTCTGCTGCAGTTGCTGAAGCACCTCATCGTGTGTCCAGTCAGCTGGTAGTAGTCCGTTAACGGCTAGAGACAAATGGCGGGACGGCACTCAGGCTGGGATTGGGGCCTTACACTGCAGGCAAGGGAGCTCGCCGACTCTCAGGGTACGAAAACAAGGACAAGCGCTCACGCAACGACCGCGGAAAAAGCGCACGAAGGCGCGGTCAAGCGCCTGGGGAGCGGTCTGACGCGACCCACAAAAAAGGTTGCAACTTACACTCGGCAAGAGACACTAACGCCGCCTCTGGTTACGGCGCTAAAGACACTCCCACGTACGGGAAAATAGGGGTGCGCCAGCGGCGCTTAAACCGACCTCCCTGCGGCTGTTGCCGCCGGGGTGGACACCTAAACACACGGCTGGGAAGAAGGCTACCGGCAGGCGTGACGCTGTACGAAGAGAAGGGGAGCGCCTCGCGGTGAACGAGAGGTGTTGGTCGGCCGCTGCCCGCCACCGTGCCTTGTGGCCCGTTCTCTACGCGGATTGCTGCAAGCTGGGCCAAGCGGGACTAGCTGGGCGGACGGGGGAATGTCAGAGCAAACAGAGCTCCGGATAGTGTAGGCAGAATGCCCAACTACAGGAGCGAATGGCTATAAGGAATTGTACGATGTCCGGTGATCGGTATCACCGGTGCCAACTAATTAACTGACAAGCCGACAGGCTACCGTTCAGAACCTAACTTAGAAGCTCTAGTCGCTTCCCTCCTGCCCCTTTTTAGTAACAATTACTAACGGCGCTGCCCCGTGCTCCGTCCCCAGCACGTACCAGACGGTTCAGAAGCACTGACACGTAGCACTTTGCAAGCGCCCCTCCAACTGCAATGCCCCGATAGCTTCCTGCCACCAACGGGTCTCCCGTCTTTAAAACTGGGGATACCACCGTTTTGGTAAACTGCTGTGGAAAGTCGCCAGTTGCCCTGATATGCTCTCACCTTGGCTTGTGCTCTCTTATAACCGTTGCGACCAAAACCCCTCCGCTAGGCTGACACCGACTCTCATCAATGTACTGGAGTGGTCTTGCTGCTGGATGGCCTGAAGTGGATACATTATTTTACGTCACCATGGCTTCAGCGCATAACGAGGAAATGACTTGCTACATACGCTGGCGTACAGGACATACATGCATAGCAGTGAAATGCTGGGACAAGCTGGAGCACTTCCTCGTTTCCTTTGTTTTTGACTACTATAGTCTTCGTCGGCTTGTAAGAAAGCTGACATTGCTGACTGTATTGCTGGGGACGGCAAACGGCACTTAGGGCTAGGATGTTGGCCTAACAGTGCAGAAATAATGTAGACGGGCACCACAGCTCCTGATCGTGTAGACAGGAGGCTTACTGACAACAGCAGTAACCACTCATACAATATCCCAGTCATCAGCAGGGTGATAACCGAATTTAGTCGCTTCCCTCCTGCTGCCGTCGAAGTCCGGTTACAAATGTTTGCCTTTGGCCCGAAGCTGTGCGGACTGGCGAAGTCGTACGGCTTACAGTGACGGATGACGCAAAAAGAAACCCCTGGTTGACCATGTTTGATTGATCTTGAAGCCTTAAAATCTGCATGCAAGGTCATGCAAGCTCGCATCTTGTGACTCGTGTACCACGCGCCCAGGAGAAAGGGGGTGTTTCCACTTGGATTAAAAGTCGAGGATTAAGGCTTAATCCGTCGCATATGGAAACATCGCGCGGATTAGGACGGATTAGGCGGATTAAGGTTGGCGCGATTAGTTAGAGATTTCCGTCCGTATTCACCCGGCTTCGCGGAATAATTATAGATTAATATGCTATGAAATGCGAGCTTTCTGCCCCTACAAAAAGCTCAAACTTTGGTGCCAAAAATTTGCTACCTGTGGGGTCCACCGGGTATCAGAATTGACAATCTCCGAATAACCCTTTTTCCCACCCCCTCAAAAAAAGCTGAGTGATAGGTTGGAAGGTTATCCTTTATAAAGGCTGTAGGTGTTCCTAGTTTTGTGGAAGCTTTGTGCTTCTTGTTCGGCATTATGCACCACACCGTGGGTGTCGTTCAAAGGTGCTACAAGGCCTTCATGTTGATACTCGATAGTCTTTTAAATGTCTGGCAATACTCGTTTTTGCATTTTATGCACGGAATGAGCAAGTGTCGTACTTCAATCCGTTTCTTAATCCAGACGTATGAAACACTCCGACGGATTAGCGGTGGATTGGCGCGGCTTAAAAATACCTTAATCCGCGACTTTTAATCCAAGTGGAAACACCCCCAAAGACTCCCGAAGAGCGTAATGAAGAGGCCCAGTCATTCGTAAACGTGCAATCTAAGCGACTGTTCGCGTGATCTGGGGGTAAATTAAAACTTCGACGTTGCCATCGAATGGCTACATACAAGATGCTAACGCGTGCGGACAACACGCGAATATTGGACCAGAGCTATACATTAAGCAACCTTTCGTGATTGTCTCTACATGAGGAACTTAAAGACAGATATGTCAATGCAACCGCTGCTATGGTTTCAGGCCGTACAACGTGTTACTAAAACGACAACAGGGGCAGCTGGGGTTGCAAAACGGAGCGATTCGTTCCTTCAAGTCCCAGAGTTTCCTGAGTTTCTTGTTACATCGACAGTTCCATATGTAGTATCTTTGCCAAAATGCACGCTTAGGCCGTTCCGCTCGCGGTTCACCGCTTTCGAGGTTTCGTACGGGCCAAGGATGAGATAATTCATAGAACTCAGGAAGGCTAGAGCAAATTGAAACAAGCCGAAGGTACGGTAGATAGTCGAACACTCCGAACTGCTCTATCCACTGGGCCATACGAGCCTGTTTGCGACGAAACAGGAAACTTCTTTGGTATCATTTCTGATATAACCTTTATGAAACTTATGCCTAGCTCAGTCTAACTTTAAAAAGGTTATTCCGTTTCAATAGGAGCGCACCTGTTGAGAGTCTGGCATCCGACCCTGGCGACACTTCATAAAGGTCTAGAAGACCTTCAATAATGACATTATCCACGACAATGGTGCGATTTGCAGACGTTTTTGTCAATTGTTACGTGCCAGGCTGCCTCCTATGGTTTTTTTGGTGCAATTGCCACGTCTTTTGACACCGTCTAACCATATTTCTACTTGCCCAGCAACGTGCGCATAATTGCCGCGTTTACAGCGCGCAAGCCGTTGGTTGTGCAGCGCGCGTCTTACGCCAACACTCTCCGCGCACCGCCTCTATGCGTGCCCTATTGCAGCATGCCAGTAAATTTGCAAGTAAATGGGCCAGCGTTCTTGCCGGCACAAGCTACAACTTGGATATTTTTGATCCGCAACCGTGTGCCGTTGGCTTCCTTACGGCCTGCCAAACTGCGGAAGCTGTGGAGTGCGACGCGCGCGTTGAGCACATCGCTTCTTCGCAAGGTTTCTTTCCACGAGTCTGCCCAGTCGACGCCTCGTGGCATCCGGACGGCTTTCCACGTGGCCCTATCGCTTGCGACGAGCTGGATGCACTGCTTGAAGGTATGAATCTACTGCTGGGGTGGTTCCAGTTTCCTAAAAATGGTGCATTCCGAAAACATGCTTGGTAATGCATCTATATGCATAATTCCAATGAGATAAAGTCAACCGTGGCCAATAAGCAGTCATATGAGCAATCGCGCACACGAAACAGCTTCGAAACGCACGGGGCGCTGGACAACAAGCAAGCGTTTGCACGATTGCGACAGTGGCATATAGAAATCCAATAACACATCACTGTCGCTTCCTATCTCCATTCCGCCTATCCGACATCCAAGGCCCTGTTCAGTGATAACCCACGCACCCTCATAGCCGCCGCACACTCCCAGCCAATAACCAGCACGGCACACCCCAAGAAGGAGTATTCCCAAGGGAGTACTCCGTGCCGGCATCCCGCTACCTAGCGGGGTCTGCCATGCTGGTAATCTCGTCCCCCTTACCTCACAACTCTGCCTGCCACCTACATCTCGCTAACAACCTCCGTGCGTCCTCGTCCGCTGTACAACACGCCAACCCCCTCCTCCTCCTCCTCCTCCTCCTCCTCTTCCACACGCTGCAGCATCCCAAACTCCCGTCCGCCCTCCCCATCGCCTCTAAACCATCTCACAGAGCTCGCCCGGGACGCCTCCTGTCCTTACCTTCGAGAGCTCACGGTGCCCAGCCTCATAACGGATCCCGTGACGCAACCCTGGGATTACGGCCCCGCCGCCGCCGCCACCGCCGCCGCCGGCCCCGCCACTGGCACGATCTTTATTAAGCCATCAGGCCTGGCGGACCGCGAATGGATGCTAGGCCTAGAGCCCCTGCCGCGGTGCTCAATTGTGGACGCACAGCACACGCACGCGGCACACGCCCAACACGCCAAGGCGGCTTGGACCAGTATGTTGCTGAGCTACAGCGACTCGATATCCGGATCGAGGGCTGAAATCGCGGTGCAGTGCAGCTCTATGGCAGCAGGAGCAGCAGAGGCGGCGGTAACAGGGGATACGCAGCCCTGCAGCCCTCCTTTCGCCGCAGTGCTTGCCGCTATAGAAGGCAGCGGCTCTGGAAGCAGCAGCGGGGTGGCGTGGGCTGACAGCGGTGACGCGCACGTAGCGCCGCATGGCCTGATGTTCTTGTCACAAGGCACGCGCCGCAGGTCGCGCCGGGCGTTGACATCGCGGAATGTGCAACCCGGCGCCGGCGCCTGTGCCATAAACTCTGCACCAGGCGGCACTGGCGGTGACCAAGGGTGTCGCTGCGTCCCAGAAGAATCCGTACAAGAGCCGTACAATTGCAGGCAACGGTGTGTGTACGGCGGCGGCGTGCAGATACATGCAGAGAACATGGTGTCCACCGGCAAGGGGGGCTATACCGACCAGCCGGCCGCCAAAGTAAGTACAGCAACAGGCAAACAACGGCAACAGGCAAACAACTGAAACATTTGCTTCGCGACGCGAAAGGACACGAATCACGCGACAGTGGACAGCCTTAAGGATTGGAATATCGGAATGCGCCGCAACCCGCAACGTAGGGGCCGATCTTTGGAACACGCCGTCCTTACTGCCCCCCCCGCCCCCCCGCGAAAACCCTAATGACACTACTGCTGGGTCCCCACGCCTCCGTCACACCGATTCTAACATCGTAATGCAAGCCACCGTTTCGACAATACCTTTCGAAGAACAATCAGAAAATCCCTTTTTCTTTCCTTACAGGGAATCCAAACCACATATCCACAACCCTAGTGGCGCCTTTCCTCCGCAGGGTACGCAGCAGCAGGAGCTCTGGCTGTCTAGGGGCCTTCGTCGCCTGAGGTCATTCGTCAGGATGAGGGGCAGCAGTGGCAGTCCGTCAAGGCCAGGTATCACGGCTGCTGCCGCCGACACTGCCGCGGCAGCAGCAGCAGCAGCAACCGCAGAAGCAGCGGCGGCGGGTGCAACGATTACGCAGTCGCTGTCGCCGCCGCGGAGGCCTGCTACTGCTCACTGTGGCGCCGCCACCGCTGTAACTACAGCCGGCCTGCCCCACCACAATGCGGGCCGCACCAGTAACCGGAGTCGCTGCAACCGCGGCGGCGACGGCACCAGCGGCGAGGCACCAGCGGCAGTCATGCCGGCGGCAACCGAGGCACTGAAGAGCCAGGTCAGGCTTGGAGAGTGTGTGTGGGATAACACCCGATATCTTAGTGCTCATGTCGTTTCGTCTGCGGCCCTCTTTGTCTTGCCTCACTGTGTTGCGTGTTATGTTGTGCTTTTTTGTTTCCTTTCGTATTTATGTCGTAGGCAGTCTTTCGTGTTATGTCGCATCGTGTGGTGTCGTATAATGTTGTGTTGTATCGTACGGGTCTTTTGGATTGGCAGGGATTCTCCCCGCTCAGGTCTCACTCTCCAGCTTAATCATCCAACCCAGTCCCCCTGTGTCGCGGCCCCGGTGCTGGTCCCAGCAGGTCATGCTGTTCACTGCTCGGCTGAGAGGAATTCAGACCGCCAGGCGAAAGTCACAATAGCCGCATACGTGGCCGTCATTGCGCGTCGATGTCCTGTTCCCCAGGACTCACTCTGTGCGAAGGGAGCAGGATCCCCTTCTGCTTATGGCCCTGCCTGTGATGACCGGATGACGGGAGCGTGCTAAAGGCGGCTGTCTGCGCTTGGTCCTGTCCTGCACGCAACAAGGCGGCCCCTGCAGCTGCGGTGCTGACGACGGTGCATTGGTTGCACTCTCCTCACCCATTCAGTTTATCTCGGCCGCCAGCGCGGTGCAGCTGTAGCTGCAACGACTGTGGCGTTGTTATTGTTGTTATTGTTGCTGTGGCGGCGGCTTTGGCGGCTGTGGCGGCAGCAGCGGCGGGGTGGCCCATGGTTTGGGGTTTGTGTAAGACCTGTGAGCTGACCCGGCGTGCGAAGCGGAGCAGCAAGGGGGGGTTGTAAACATATTTTTGCCAGATAAGCATGAGGTGCGTGCGTGCGTATGTGCGTGCTTGTGTTGCATCCGGGTTGCATCCCGGGCGCATTGAGTGTTGCAAGCCGCTGCGAACCTGAGGAAAGGTTCGCAGGCGGGGCTTTGTGTCTGTTGCTGTTCTTGCAAAGTAGAGGCTTGAATGCGATGGAGGGTGTTTCGATCGGGTTTGTGGGAATGGCGCCTAGCGGACTGTCTTGACGGTGCACTGGGCTCCATTAGAGTCTTGTTGGGCGCCACGGCATTATTGGTTAAGGCCTAGCAATCGCCGGCCGTGTGATTCAAAACGCGCTGAGGCAAGTGCGTTGCCGAAGGAAAAACAGATTTTTTTATTTCGAGACATGTTTTGCAATGACGCGCTTTCGTTTTGTGATGAATCGCGTTTTGCACGAAAAGATAAGATGGCTTTGTTGTTTATGAAGCTTTTATTATGATGGCCTTACTTTACGAGCTTTCGATACGCGTGTCGGCGCGCGTTAATGATGAAGCTGTTTTGACTCAAAAATTGCGGCACATAGGGTAAGGATAGGTTTGTGTGTGCACATATATATGCAGGTATTCTAGGCAGGAACAGGATCAGGGTGGATCAGGGCAATACCTGTTTTATAAATACCATCACGCAGAGGGATTTCTTCTGCGGACTATACAATTGCTATTCATTCGAGCCGCATGTTGCCAAAAGAGGGCGTTAATGAGGGTTATATCGCCTGTAGGCTGCACAGGGCTGCGTGGGCAGTTGAAGTGAAGTGGGACGCGAGGCGCACTGGGAGGGCGTCCTCCTTATTGGCGAGGGGAGCGCCCCATGTTGCAGATGAAGCAACTTTGGGCTGAAGTACAGGCCGAGGCGTGTGTTCCCGGCCAATTACTAGTGCTAGGAATGATGCCTGGGAATTCCACTGCTGGCAAATTCGAGAGGAGCTGTATGTATGTATGTATGTCATGGGGCCGGGTCTGGCTTGCAGCAGAACGGTGGATACCCCCAAGTTGCCTGTGAGGAGTATCAACAATACGAACCATTTTAACACCGAGTTAAAACGAGCTATTCGTTGAACGACATTCAAAATCTTATAGTCAATGGTATTACTAGGAATAGTAGTCCGTTGTGGTTGGAGGTGTCACCTATGTCCTAGGGTTTGGAGGGCATAGAAGGTGGCGTATGAAGGTGGCCGCAACGAGTGCGTCAGCCATGGTGGCCGGAGCGGTGCGGAGCAGGGCGTTGACGAGGAGGCGATGTGCCGTAATTTGTACAGCTTGTTGACTCGCAGGCGAAGAAGCACGAAGAAGCTATTCAACCTATGTTCCTAGCCAAGGGTTGCATGCCGAGGACCACCTGGTAATCATAACAGCAAAACGCTGTCGTAGCAGGTGTATTTGTTTTTTTACCTTCTACTCTGGAGTATGTCGCAATTTGTTGGTTGGCATAGCCTGCCCACAACGCCGTACAATCGTACATGTCTTGCTGTATTCCCTTACGCACAAGCCGCCCTAATGTCATATGACATGCGGAAGTGCAGTTCGGAAACATGCACATGCAGGCGCGCACGCATAGGGATGCAGACATGCAAGGTAACGATGCGGCTGGCTGTTTAAATGGGATGTGCGTTTGTTAGTTGAGGATGTCGTTGGCTTATGGGTAATATTGATGTTCTGGTGAGCGTGCGGCGTTTTAACGAAACGGACGAGTTCCTTAGTAAATGGCGCTAGCGAGTGACTCATACCTTGCCCACGCGTTCCTCAGTATTCTTGTCTGTTGTATGACTGGCGCTGACGCGGTGATGACCTTACCGTTTGAATATTTATGACGCCGCACCTCGTACGGCGCAGTTACAATGCCGGCAGGCTCTTGGTTTTAGTTTTGTCCTCTCTAGGTGTCGCGCACTCACGTGCTGTGTGTGCATGTGCATATCATGGTGTTGGTTTGGGTACGGTAAGCTGTTAGCTGTTAGCTGGAAGGCTTGGCACTTAAATAAAATATGGTGATTAATAGGCAATTGTTGATGATCGTATGATTGTCATGGTTGGATGGCCTTCTCCCATGTTTCGAGGCTTCTTGTTGGCCACGTTTCCGTTGATAGATTTGTATGATCACACACAACCTGCTGGTTTTTTCAGGGTTTGGACTCATGACTATTCACTGGTGTGAGCCCTTCATTGGTGTGGGCCCTAGCTATCAGCTCTCAAATAGACAGGAAGATGCTCCGTTCTGCTCCTCCCACTCTTGTGGAGAGCATCTATAGATATTTCATAGCATCTTTCCGCATCATCTGATTTTGTGCGGTTTGGGATCTCGTTGTAGTACCAAGGTCTGAGTTTCGTACGGAAGGGCTGGCATCCTCATTGACCCACCCAGCGGCGGAGCTAGCACCCCACCGGCTCTTCTGTCGTGCTGGTCGTCCGCGGCCTGGGTTAATGGGGGCCATGGGGGACAATGCAGTGTAGTGCAATGTAGTGTAGTGCAGTGTAGTGCAGTGTAGTGCAGTGTAGTGCAGTGTAGTGTAGTGTAGTGCAGTGTAGTGTAGTGTAGTGCAGGGTAGGGCAGGGCAGGGCAGGGCAGGCGGCTAGGGAGCCGTTTCGAGGGCTCCAGGGTTGGTGTCGCCCCAGAGCTGTGACCCCCTGGCTTGTGCTGTTCGGTTGCCGCATTGAAGTGTGATGGCAAATAGGCATGCAGATAGGCATGCAAGCAGGTAGACAGGTAGGCAAGTAGGCAGGGGCAAGCAGGTGGAGAGGCAGGCAGACAGACAGACAGACAGGCAGATAGGATGACCGGCAAAGAGGCGGACAGATAGATAGGTGATCAGATAGGCAGGCGGTAAGCGGCCCTCCGTGAAACTCTTGGGGATTTTAGCGCTTTAAGGATTTGCCGTTATTATGCCGTATAGGACATTAGAAATCTGTTTGGCCCCTAGGTGGCATCACTAGCCGCCGACCCGGCATTGTGTATCATGTCGCTCGCCCGTTGTTATTCTGTACGGCCTGATGAAGCTTGACATTGGGCTGGTGCCGACTGTTGCAGCCGTGGCGGGCACGGGAAGGACCTCCAAAGGCGTTTCTGGTTTGGCTGGACTGGATGTCCTCCCTCATGTGTGGGAAAATGTTGTCTGCTGGTGGTGTGCTGTCCGCTGATGGATAATGGTTAAAATACCTGCCATCCATCCAGTAAATACTGCTGGAAAACATATAGTTTTGTGCGCTAGCTGAGGCTATATCGTCAGTGAAGCTAGTATGCTTGGCCGTGTACGGCCCACAGTGTTGTGCGCGTGGCATTGCACACGAGCCGCTCGGGCCAGCGTTGGCCCTAGGGCATAAAAGGGTCTGTAAACCGACCGGTTAGCTATAACCCAACCGGTCGTTATCTTGACCGGCAACCTCACGTGCTCGCAAGGGGCGTCGAAACCGGTGGGCTAGTCCCTTGGGAAGGGCAAGACCGGAGGGCTGCAGTTCTGCGACACGAGCGAGTCCCGGAATTGCAAGCGGAACTGAACTGGAAGCTGGCCAAGGTGTTCTATATGAACAACATCTCCTTCCGCGTTGCTAAGGACCCGAAACTTCCTGGACTTCATCTACTCGCTGCACCCGAAGTACTTGCCGTCGGGTGCGTGCTATGGGGTTGCGTTTTAGCTTGTCTGTCCATAAAGCTCCCCTTGCCGATTTAGCAATCCCTATATACACGCACCTATGTCCTTTTTATTGCCATCAGCTGACCCTTGCATGTGGATGCCTACACCGAGATGGCAGCTAGATGGCAGCCCTTCCCATGGGACTTACCATCATCGCCAGTGCCTCAGGATGCCCCAGGATTGGCAATGCCTTCTAACTTACAAAGCATGCAAAGCTAACATCACGCTATGAACTATACAGCAAGATCCAAAGCCTTTATTACCAAACGACTGCTGCGTGGAGCTATGCTCCGAAACTTAACTGTCCGTATTACTCCTAAAAAATACGCCCAGCGCGCCAGCGTTTTCTCAGGGTATCCGCCATGCGTATTAAGCGTATCAAGTCGGGGGCGTATTCCGGGCGTAATAAGACGCATTACGGTACCAACGCTGGCTCCGCTATATCAACTAACTCATGCCTGTGGCTTGCACAAACACACGCGAACAACGATACAAAGAGGTTTATATGCTCTGTAGCCAATCGTCAATTATTTTTTGCCTACAAGCAGATATTATTTTCCTGAGGAGCGTGGGCAAATCTCATCGCGCCAATTTTTGCTTGGCGCGAAGATGGGACGCCCAAACTTCGCAGTTAAATCCATATACCAAGATAGCATGATAAACTTTATTTCACAGCCCCGACATGCAGCGTGCGGGACCATTACCCTTAAGGTCGGTTCCTACCGTGTCACCTTTACTTCGTTATCGGCCTAGGGCCCTGGACATATCTGTCCGCGTAATCTCAAAGACGGACAGCACAATGCCTTCCAAGCGGCAAAAACTTGAGCATGAGGGCGTTGGCGTCGGCGCCGGAGCAGCCATGCCTCGCCACCCGTTGTCCGCGGTCGGGAGTCCGATTCCTTCTGAAGGCCAGGAGGTATGGTGTATCAAGCAGCTTCGTGAGTGTCTGGCCGCATTTACTGAACTCGTGACATTTCACTGCCAGGTCCCTACGGCAAGCACCAGCTCCAGCGCAAACAAAGGGACTTTTAGATTCTGGCACGAGGAACGGCGATTCAAGGGAAGCGGAGAACGCTGCATCGTGCAGCGGGCGTTGTTTGAAAACGGTAAATTCAAAGCTATCGGGGCACCGAATCAAAACCAGTGGAGGCATTGGCACAGCATACTCAATTACTAACGTGGAGAGGATCCGAAACTTGCAAGTCTGGCCATGCGGACTTGGCACTGTCTCTTCCGCATCTCCACCCCCTGCCTACCCTTCCTGACAACTACTATCTCCTCGGCCTAAATAGGGCCCCTAAAGCCGCGGGGCTGCCTACATAGCTTACAGCAGCGTGGTCCCCTTTCCGGTGGCGTCGCAGGAAAGAGGAATCGTGCGCAGAGCTTTGCCATTTTCCGCAGAAGGATCCCTCATCCCGCCGGGAACCCCCGCTTGCCAATGTCCATAATCTTACAGTTCACACCTTCAACATCCCATCTCACCTCTCCTCCCAATTCTCCAGGCGGCATTCGCATCGGTGGCTACCCCAAATCCGCGCCCATCCCGGGACCCCTTGGCTGGCAGCGGCCGGGCGACTGGGACTTCCTGTGGGCCCCTGCCCGCCTGGCGCTCAAGGCCATTCCCCACCTCAAGCCAGGGCAGCTGGTTTCGGCATGCCCGGGACTTATGAGCATCACCAAGAAGGCAAGCTGCTGCAGGAGCGGCAAGGGGTTGGCCCGGCTGACTACTGGAGGCATGGGACGGGTTACACCAACCATTGGCATCGCGCAATATGGGTGGCGCGGGAACGTGCTTCATAATAGGGCTGCAATAGGCTCGCATGTCCATTTTCCTCACCTTCTTACGCTTTCCCTGTTTTCCCCGCAGCGCCGCCTGCCCGCCACATTGAAGGAGGCCCTTGGAGAGTCCCTCGCCTGGGACATTGTGCCGCACTCGTTCAGCTTACCGGAGGAGCTACCCAAGCTGGCAGCTCATGCGGTCACCGCAGCTACAGCGCCGGCGACTGCCACTACCGTCATTGCCGCTACGAGTGCGGCTGCGGCTGCACACGGGGTTGCTGCCACAGGGCCAGCAGTGGAGGAGCGGACAGCAGGCGCCGTCGCAGCCACGGCTACTGACGTGGCGACGGAGGCGACAGCGGCAGTTGCGCCGACGGAGGCTGCCGCGGCGGGAGCATCGTCGGCTGTCGCTTCTCGTACCGGGGAGCTGTGGATTCTGAAGACGGCGCAGCACCTTGGCAAGGGGCTGAAGCTGGTGCCGTTGGATGCGGCGGCGCTGGAGGCCAGCAGGCCGCGGAGAAGGTGGGGAAGAACATCTTGACTTCTTGACTGTTTCTGTGTGTTTGTGTGTGATCCTTGGAAATGGGGTCGGGTCGGGTCGGGTCGGGTCGGGAGGCCAAACTGAGTTAGGACCACCATGAACCCGGATGGGGTCCGAAGTTTCGAACACGTCCCGAGATCTTGAGAGGGGCCTCCAGCGGGGCAATATACCGGGCGTTATGGGGCAGAGGGAGGGGGGCATGGGGGCCCCCAGGGAGCGAAAGGAGCAGGTGCGGGGCTGTGTAACGTGGCGCCGAGTGTCATATGCCACGCGGTGTCATGGCGGGGGGCTGCCGGCACCTCTCCTTCCAGCTATGTCACCGTAGAGCGGTGGTGGTGGGGGGCAAGGGGATAGCATCCTCCATCGGGGGGACACACCACGAAGCCCCGTGGGTCCCTCATACTCCGGATAGTACTCCAGAGCCCCCTTTTTCCGCCTACCACCTTTCCATCACCTTTCCATCACCATAGGCAACCGTGTAGGTCTCCGCGTATGTGGTTAACTTGGGTTGGGCTGGGTGCCCCGGTGGGCTTGCTGCCTTGACAGGTTGGGGGGGACCAGGACTGCGGCCCGCCTGTGCCCCCTTCGAATCATCCGTATGTATGCATGTATATACTTATGTGCGACACCTATATTGCGCAGGCCGAGTCAGAAGCCGTACGTGCTGGCCCAGCGCTACGTTGACCGGCCGCTGCTAGTGGACGGTCGCAAGTTCGGCATCCGCGTGTGGGTGGCGGTGACCGGGTTCAACCCGCTGCGGGCCTACCTGCACAGCAATGGACTGGTGCTGTTCAGCACACACGGGTGAGCAGCTGCATGGACGGGTGGATGGGTGGGTGGGGACGCGGGAGGTAATGATGAAGCGGTGTGCGGTGTGCGCAGGAGTAGGATACGCGCAGCAGCAACAGCAACAGTAGCCAGGTTGTAAGCGCTACGGCAGGACCGTACCGTACACGCAAGTACCTTACGAGTCTATAAGTGCTCAGAAGGATAAGGGGCCCCAACCGGCCTTGGTGCCATCCCCGGATGTCCTATATTCCCTACATATATACAGACAGACAGACACACGCAACGGCTTCGTTGGGATACGCGCTCATTTGGGAGCCCACAACCGCAAGCAGGGTGGGGACAAGATGATGAAGAAGAAAGACACACATACATCCGTGCATATAACATGTCTTCCTGATTGTGATCGTGCCCATGCTGTACAGGTACGACAACAACAGTTGGCGTACGGAAGCAGGTGACGTGGCACTCGGCCACATCACCAATTATGCGCAGAATATGGACGGAACCGTGTGGAGCTTACAACAGCTGGAGGCCCACCTGGGTGCGTGGAGGGCGCATATGGGGCTGGTAGGGGGGAAACTCCTACATGCATGAAGCTTACATTTCAACTGACAAGACGCTGCGGTGGGAGGGGGAAGTAAGGGGGAAGACAACTGCCGGCATTTCGACAGCGGGGCTTGGGGTGCACCGCGATGAGTTAGAGAGGTGCCACGTTATTTAGTACGTCGCTTGGTGGGTAAGTTGGGATACCTGGCGGCTGGTGCGTCCAGCTGCTAGCCTTTATCTGGTTACTGTCCCCTTGCTGCCCTCTGGCCATGTTCTTGTTACCCACCACTGGCGACTTCCACACATGCTCGTCTGCTTGAACACCGTCGGGTGGAGGTTTGTATTAATTCTGCTGCTGCGGGAAGTAGCATCCACACCGGCAAGGCTCTCCACTCCGTTAGCGCTATCCGTCTGGCAGGGGCCCATCGTGACGCTGCGGACCGGGGCGTTCCACGCTACGCCCCGTCTCACTGCCTCGGCCCCCTGCGGCTGTTATGGACCTTCGTACCTGCAGGCACGGAAAAGTACGGCAAGATGTGGCGGCTGGTGCAGCGGAACAGTGCACTGGTCATTGCGGCGGCGCTCAAACACATCAAGGTGCTGCGCGGGGGGCGAGGAGGGAGGGAAGGGCGAGGAGGGGAGGGAGAAGGAGGGTGGAAAACGGACACCACAGCAAGAGGGAAGTCCTGGTGTGTCGGGTCCCGCTGCCCCTCTCCCTCACCACTGGGCTGCAGTGTGTGACGCCACGTGGACAGCTGTGAGTGAGACACAATCCGACCTCATTCACCTCCCCAGCCCCCAACCCCGTCCCTGACCGTCTGCTCGGGCTCTGCCCTCCTGGCCTACCCGGCGCCGGCATCTCCACCTCATGCTTCCCGTGTTTCCTGGCCCCCTCCCCGCTTCCCCCCCCCCCCCACCCGCTTCAGTCCGACCACGAGGCGCTCAAGTGCCCCAGTGGTATGACATGCGAGGTACGTGAGGAAGCCAGGGGGAGAAAGGGGCCGAGGGTGTGAGGAGGGGGAGGGGGAATTGGGGGACCGGGCTTTCCCGCCGCCCCTGCCGCCATTGCAGTAACCTCGACACCCTCCCTGCTCCGCAGCACCACTGCAGTGGCTGGCCTCGCTGAAAAGGCCTCTCGGGATGCTGGTGGAGCGCTTAGCGCGTATTTGTAGACGTTATGTGTGCCGTACTGTGTACCAGCTACTACAATCACTCGTCTGTGGTTCCTCTTCACCCTCCCCCTAACCTTTTGCTACTTGTATGAGCGGTTATTTCCATCCCTTCCCGCCCTCCTGCTAATGCCAGGTCGTTGGGTTGGACTACTTGGTGGATGACCAGCTGCACCCCTGGCTGCTGGAGGTCAATGGAACACCCTCGCTGCAGGTGGAGGAGGAATACGGGGGGAGGGAAGGAGGGGTCGGGCAGGAGTGCACTAGCGGTGAAAACATGCGTGGGGAGGAAGACGGGAAGCGCACTACAGTGATGTTGTGTTACTGCTCACCCTCGCCGTTGTCCAGCCGCCGAGGAGATGTGAACTTTGCATGGGGTTAGGGAGGGCCTGAAGCCCTTTTCCGCGGTGCTGCTCTTCGCATTCATCACTCACCTTCCCCTCCTCTTTCTCCTCCTACCCGTGGCGCCTTGCCCCCTGCTGCACGCAAACGTGCATACTCCATTCCGCGTGCTTTCATGTCAGGTGGAGCATGAGGATCCGCGCGTGGAGCAACTTATACACGACCAAAAGTACGGCATGGTGCAGGTGAGAGAGGGAGAGCGGTACATGCGGACTTGCACGTGCACAGCGGGGTTTATTTGTGTGTACACACACATGCGGCTCTGTGGCAGTTTATTACTCCTTCGTTCGTCGTAGTTGGTTAGTATGTCAGTTAGCGTCACCTATATTTCTATGCCCCCTCTGCATTCCTCCCGTTTGTAATTCCCCGCCTTCCCTGCCCTCTTCTTGTGTTCAGGACCTGATGTCGCTGCTGGGCATGCGTGAACGCTTCAAGCCCCGATACGCCGCAATACGAGCAGCAGCCAAGACCAAGCAGCAAGCCGCCGCTGCAGCGGCAGCGGCAGCCCTTGCGTCCGACGGCGGAGGGGGCGGGCACGCCGCAGCGGCAGCCAAGGCGGCGGCCGCCGCTGCCAAGCCCTCCGCCTCTTTCACCCGGAAGATTAGAGAGCAGCTGCAACCCTCGACTGACTCGGCCGTCATGGCGCGTGTGGCTCAGGAGCTAACGCACCGAGGGGGATTTGAACCGCTCATGCCGCTCATGCCGCTTGACCCGCAACTTGGGGTGAGTGTTCCATGGGACGATCGGGACTTTGAGCTTCGGCGCGCGATGGTTTCGTCTGGGGAGTGGTGCAACGGCGTCGCGACGGAGGCAGGGTTGGATGGCGGGGCGGATGACAGGGATGGGGCGGGGCCAGCGGGTGTAGGGGCGGGTGCTTGGCGACACAAGGCGGGACGGGATGGTGGCGTGGTTGCGGCGGACGGGGTTTGCGACACGGAGGGCGATGATGATGACGAAGATGACGATGATGGTGAGGAAAGCGGTGACGATTGAATAAAAAGGAACGTTTGAGGAGTTGGCTTGAGAAGACCGGATAGAGCACCCGCTGCAGGGAAGAGGTAACGTCATCACGCGGTGAGGCTTCGGGTGATGTTGGCCTTTGCGGCGTTTGCAGCTTAACCTGCATGGTGGTGGCTTGTGGCATGTGACATGTGGGGGCAGCCGGGGAGGAGGAGAAGGGGGAAGGGGAGGGCGTGACGGAGCGACGGAGTGAGAGTCCTGTGCTTTGGTAGCTTTGGGGTTTTGGATGGCACGGACCGGACGAGCACTAAGCCTTCCCCTCGGGCTTAGGCTTGGGCTGGGGCTGGGGATGAAAGACCTCCAGCCCCTCCATATCGCATTGGACGTCGGTACTCAAACCTTTGCTTTTTGCACATGATTCTAGCGCCCTCGCCATTCACCCTTACCTTAAGGTGGTGGGTTAGGCAGCGGATTGCGGCAGGCGGTGGGTGTAGGAGAAGCCCTGACCGTGGGCTGGGGTGGTCTATCACGTAGTCCCCTGACATGGCAATAGCGATTCCGTACGCTAGGTGAGCAGCGTGTTGGTGATGCTGACTGGCGGCCGTACTCCTACGGGTTGTGGGTCCCTTAGGGAGGTCTCTAGTCTTGCTAGTGCTGGTTTCGGTGCTGTTCACCTGGATGCGTGGCTCTCTGGAGGGCGCGAGGCCCTACTGGTGTGCTGGCCCCGGATGGCCCCTCGTCCTCCCGGGTCGGTGACAGCTGCGGCAAAAGCCTTTCTTACGAGGCGTTTAGGATTACTCGATACTCAGCGTTATACCTTGTACCGGTCAGCCGTGCGTGATTCGGCGGCAGCCTACCCCTGCCTCGAGAGATAATCACCACTATGACTGCCTTACTACCTTTTACTTGTGAGGCATCAGTGGTGCGATGGCTACGGGACACGGGGAGCGCGCGCCCAAGTAGGCCGTGGCTCTGAGGCGGTGGATGGTTGCGAGCTTGGAACTAGATCTGACTGTCCAGGACTCACTGCCTAATGTGGTCAAGATAAAGTGGGTTGGTGCCGAAGTGGCCGCTGGGTGACGGTTCCAAAGAATTGGACGTGGAAACAGCTATGCGGCAGCGGTGGCAGTGAACACACTAGCGAGGGATATTATACTAATACGGCTCTCGGCGATCCCATTATTTTTCGATTACGACATGCGGAGAGGCTCTGCTTCCGGCTGCCAACAGTTCGGCGTTTGAGCGAAAGATGTGTGGCGCTGGTACGAAAGTACGTGGTCTATGTACGAATAGCCTGACAAGTTGTCATTCGCTAATCATGGAGGTACCATAAATGTATTTATGGTTGCATTATTCATTCTTCAGGAAGTCATTCCATCGGGTCGACAAACTGCATCAGCAAGCTTCATTCGGTTCTTCAAACCTCCGACTGTCCAAGTAGCTGTTGGACTGAACGCGTAGAGTTCATTAACTATGTTAAAGAATACGACGTTTTCGCGATATACCAATACGCTAGCGCGGCGAAGCTCTGTAAGGGCGCAACCCTTGCTTTCGTAATTGCACGCACCCCCGCGCGGACTCCCGAAGACGGTGCGAAGCCTCCCTGGAGTCCGCCAACGGAATCGCCCAGTGCGACAACAGTAATCTCGCTACAACAGTAAATCTCAATCGATAGCTTTACATTTGCTGATCAGGAACAGCGCCATAGAGCGCAAGAAACAGTGGCCCGCTCCGACGCTTTGACATGGCGGTCCTGCTTGATAATTCTTTGCAATTTTAAAAGCTCCATACATCGCAGGCAATAAATATTATTGAATAAATATTTTTAGCTGAACTCAGGTCGCAGGTCGGGAAACGGCCTTGCGATCGGCCATACGATGGCCGTCTCGGTAGCGGCCTGGTAGGGTGGTCCATCCCTAGGTAGGAAACAATGATCAAACATCGCAACGATCGTGTTCTGGACAGCGGCTCCGACAGTGACAGCGAGGAGGGCGACGACATGGTGTCATTCGACGCCGTCGGCTATGACATGCTTGAAGAATCCGCCCCATCGCTGCAGATGCCCCATAGCAGCTCAGCTCAGACTGGCAGGCAGTTGGCCGGCGTCGAAGAGGGTGTGCGCACCGACCTTGGCGCCGGCGCTGAGCCCAACGGCGCACAGACCGCCAACGCGTCGGGATCAGTCGTCTCCAAACTTGCGCTCCATACGAAAACACCGGCACAACGAGCGCGTTATAGAGGGACATGCACAGCTTAGGGGTAGTAATTTTCTTATCCCGACACAGGGCACTGAGGCCAAACGTGGCACGTTTCCCTGCTGCTAGTAACTGTTTGGCGCAGGCTGAGAACTGTGTGCCTGGGCCGTAATGTAGCCCGAGATATCGCGCCGTCTCGTTACCAGCCAGTACCCTCAAACACGCCCCACATAACCGGTACTCGGCTTCCATAAGGCGCTCCTGTTCCCGTGCTGTGCCCCCAAAAATGAGGACCTCACACTTGGCTGAGTCAATCCATCCAACTCGCAACTCGCAAGGAACTCGCAAAATTTCTATTATTCTTTTTACGCGAATACATACGTGAACTACGCCTGTAGGGTGTAAACACAGCGCATTTGTGGCGCCTGCGCCTGCGGGCTATGGCCGATCGCAGGCGCAACTATGCTGAAGTGGCTTGAGGCCTATGTGGCTTCGTCTGTCTGAGCAGTGCAATCTAGCTGTTCATACGCACAAGCTCACTCAGGCCTCATCTAGTAACGACGTGCAAGTGCTTATCAGTATTTGCTGATGGGCCTTCTGGTGGGGTTCCGAGGACTTTTGCCGGTGTGGTGCTGCCTCGAGTGGTGTGGTGCTGCCTCGAGGCATCCCTCGCCCCGACGGTGAACTGATGGATGCTAACTTAGTCAAGTGCCTGCCCCCCGTCGTGTGCACTCCATAGGTGGTTAGCACGAGTTTCTTGAACCCAGCACGCTTCCCTGCAAGGGAGAGTTGGGTGAGAGACTGAGCTTCGTGCCTTAATAGGGAGGGGTCGGGTACGTACAGGTTTTCCGGGTTTCCTGTGTCATAGTGAACCCTCACCCCAAGAGCTGGATCAGGCCGGGGATGGAGAGGAGTCTTGCTGTGTGTTTGAGGCTCAGTGTGCAAACATGCATGACAGAGCCTTGACTCGTGAGAGTGTGTGCACGTGCTCACACCTCCCAACCCCAGGGGAGGAGAGTGGAACTAGCGGACCTGCGGCTCTTGGCTGCTTAGGAGGGGACAGGGGCCCCTCATACCCCTCTCCCCTCCACGGGAGAGAGGTTCGGTGGGCTTTCCGTTGGGGCGCGCACACACACACACACAAAAAAAAAGCCTGGCAAGTTGTCATTCGCTAATCATCGAGCTACCATTAAATGTATTTATGGTTGCATATTCATTCTTCAGGAAGACATTCCATCGGCTCGACAGATTACATCAGCAGGCTTCAGGTACAGTTTGCGAATGACCGGCTCTATATGCCTACAAAACAGATGTCCAAAATACATAAAAAAAAGAAAATCGCCTTCTGCTAGCAAAAGGCAAATAGGGTCGGTCATTCGTGAACAGTACCTTCATTCGGTTCCTCAAACCTCCGACTCTCCAGGTAGCTGTTGGACTGAAAGCGTAGAGTTCATTAACTATGTTAAAGAATACGACGTTTTCGCGATATACCAACACGCTAGCGCGACGAAGCTCTGTAAGGGCGCAACCCTTGCTTTCGCAATTGCACACTCGTCCACGTTGTTTGCAAACCTTACGCGCAAGCAGCGGCGTGGAGAGCTACGTTGTGAAGCCTATCGCAAACGAAGCAGATTTGGAGGCGGAGCGAACATGTGGGTTTGCTTCGCCCAGGGTTTGGGAACCATGACGAGTGGTCCATGGTCCCCGGTTGCTGTAACCTGAATTTCCGCTGGCGGCATACCTTCATCATGAAATCTAGCGAATCTGCCCCTCATGTGATTTACATTTACAATATCTCCGTAATTCAATTCGTTGCACTGCCCTGGGAGCTGTACGACGATACCACCTCTTCTGACTACCACGGCCTATACGGTTGTAGTACATTACCCCGGAGGAGAGTATGGGCCGCGCCTAGACTCATGTATGTGGCACCAGGGGGCGCGTCCGTTGGCAGACCTGGCCTTGCGTCCCGCTATCGCCGTGAAATAAAGCACCGCTGCTGGAAGTGGAGGACCGCCGCCCTGAGCAGTTAGTATGGCCTGGTGCCTGGCCCGCGAGGATTACGCAGCGAGACGTGTGGGACCATCGCAACCCTGGGGGGCTTCCCTGGCCCCCCGTTGTGTTTCTTGCCTAACCAGGGTTGGCTACCGCCATGGCCACATGGCTTGATGAGGAATGGACGGTGCTTCCGGAGCATAAACAGCTAGGTGTGAAGCGGGGAGGGAGGGAAGCGGCCCACGGGCGCAGTGTGTGCAGCAGCGCGGAACGTAGCGGTAGGTTAGCTCCGAGATGCTGTTGTATGTAGTCTGCCTTTGCGCGCGCTCACGTTCCCTTGTTCGCTTCTCATTTATAAAATGTGCACATTGGTCGAACGTGCAATCAGTTGCGGGTGCGTGAGGGTGTCTCATTTGGGGATTCCTCTCACCCCTCAGGGTGGTGGTGGTGGTGGTGGTGGTGACATCCGGTCCTAGGGGGAATACGCCACCGCATGAAACACCGGACGCACTCTCCCCGTCATTACCCACGTGGCATACACACAATACACAGACATACATAACACAGCACACAGCCGAGTGGCCACCTACACACACCCGCAGGTCAGGCGGCCGCGAGCGCCTACGTGGAGTTGCGGAGGCGAGGAGAGGATGACATGGGTTCCGTGGTTCTGGCTGTGGCTTCGGAGCTGCTTCGCCCCGAGCTGGCTGCGGCCTTCCGTGCGTCCTTCACCGACCCCTTTGAGGTCTCCAACAAACGTAAGACAACTGCTGAAGAGCCAACTAACTAACTAACTAGCTACTTCACAGACGAACTGTCGAATGATGTACGGCGGAGATGCAGTGGGGTGTTATTCAGTGGGGGCCGGAGAGAGAGAAACCCTTCAGCAAAACTACTAACGTCCAACCAAACACGTGCCGTACTCCCCTTCGTCCCTCTCCCCTCTACCCCGACCCCGACCCCGACGCCCTCCCCGGACTGCCGACCCGCGGAATCCCCCCTTCGCAGTGGTGGAGACAGTGATGTTGCGGGACGGTTGCGACGTGTGCTGCACTTCACAGGCCGACCGGGACCGCATTCAGCGAATCAATGTCATCATGAGCAGTGGCGACAGCAGCTCGGAGGCGGGAGTCTGTTTGGGAAAAGAACGAGACTGAGAGAGACGATTGGGGGGAGGTTTGGGAGGGAAACGTTAAGGAGGCGTAAAAAACATCGAGTGGTCGCTTCTGAGGTGGTCGCTTGTGCACCTGGCGGCCGGGAAGGGGTAAAGACGCAGATGCATCTGGGCGCAGCTCCGGCAGCTCCAGCGCGAATGTGCACTCTAGAGGCGGCCCTGAAGAGCTGCGGCGCCGTGTGGTGAAGCATCATCTGGGCAGCAGGACGAGCAGTACAACATTTCACTCGACCTGGCATTTGCCCGTACGGACTCTCGCCGTGTTGTTGTATGTGTTGGCACCTTGTTGTGGCTGGCTGATGTGGCCCTGGGCATGGCGCACCTGGTGCGGCTGGTTTTAGGTACTACGGCTGCTGTTTGCGCTGGAGGTGCGGGGCGGTGCGGGTTAGGGCAGCTGCACAGGGGCTGGTGCGGGAGGACCGGGGCGGGCTGGATACCAACACAACACCGGAGCGGGTATGTATACAGCCACCGCGCTAGTGGCAGTGCGACCGCTGTGTGTGTGGGGGGTTGAGGAGATTGGAATGAAACTATAACAAACTACAACCCGCGTGTGTGTGTGTGTGTGTTGAAGGAGGGCAAGATGGCTACACACTTGCTTCGTATTCGTCGCAAAAAGAAAAAGAAAATCGGAGCCGTGAGTTGAGAACATTGAAAACAGCTCGCAACAACTTGGCAATGTCGACACAACCACCTCTGTAAACGAAGCGACGGTATCTGCTGCCGTTCCCCCGTCCATCGCGGTACTCAATTCACCGGTGCCCTGGAAACCCTATCCTTACGCAGTGCGCATCACATCTTCACAAACTGCATGTGGCCGAAGGCCCTCGGGTCTCCGGATCGTATGGATGGTATTGGGGCCACGCACCCCCAACCACGTAACACACATACACGTCATCTTCATGGATGCAGTGGATACTCATTACCCTTGCAGCAACTCTCCCTACACCGGCTCCTGAGTCGGCGCGAGTTTCCCGTAAGGGCTCGAGCCAGAGTTAACCCCGGCGCCTACATAAAGAATGTTATTATCCAACAACATATAACACACATATCCAACAACACATGCAGTACAGACACCAATAATCATGAACATAGATAAACTCATCAGCAACGAACATGAAAAAAATAAAACAAACTCAAGGGAACCGTAAAAGCACGCGACCACGGAAAGCACACAACCACTGCCGTCACGCCCCGCCTCGACCCGCCTTCCTTTTCCTCGATGCGGAGCTCAACGACACCAAACACCATTACGGAGCTCCACACCGCTGAGGCCGTTCTCTCCTTCTCACTCCTTTAAGACTCTTCACACACAAGTCATCAGCTGCATTCCTACCTGCTCCTCATTCGCCGTGTCATCATTTGCCTGTCCTTTATGTCTCTATTGGGCCGCAAACAATGCGCTCCTTAGTCATCACAGAAGCAATGCGCCAGGAGCTCCGATCCCACTCATCGCACATCTCCCCCTCCCGTTTCAGGCACTCACTCAACACCCCCTCGTAAGCCTTTGCCAACACACCTTTCAACAAGGCCACTCTCTTAACAGCCTCTCGTACCTATTACAGCATCTCTCAGACCGTAAATGACCTCCCGGGGCCCCTCCTTAGGGAACTCGGCCCTAGTTAACCTTCCTTCCAATACACAGATCTGCCAGCAGGAGGCTATACTTGACGTACAGCCGCAGCAATAGCCGCATACAGGAACAGACCACAAACAGATCTGACGATAGGGAGCTGTCGCAGCTGGACGCGGATGTGACAGCTGCTGCGGGTGCGGCCAAGCGGAGCACCAGCCCACCCTATGTCGCCCTATGCCGCCAGCTTGGCGGTTGCGTGTCGCACCACGAGGTCTGCTATCCATCAGTTCTGTTATACCCCCGAATGCTGAGACCGACCAGCAGAATGTCGCAGTAGAGCAGACACGGGGTGCGGACTGACATGGCACAAAGACGGCCGGCGGACGGACACATGCAGACGCATGGATGCGAAATCACACAGCCAACGGAATGGCAGCGCGCAACCAAATCAGTTTTGTAACGCCCGCGATTTGCCAACCGCAGGGGAGAACACGCACATAGCTTCAATGGAGCATACGACAGCTTTCACTTATTCATTCATTCGTTCATCAGATCATATGCAGCGTGGTGGTATCGCCACGAACTGACCCAACAGGGCCTAAGTATGAACATGAAATGCCTCCTCCTCCTCCTCCTCATCATCATCATCAGCAGCAATTAAGAGATACAGCAACAACAAGGCCAACAGAGCGTTCCTGACTTTTACACCAGCCCAGAGCTCGAACTTAGCCTCCAACAACCCGACGTCACAAAACCCCGCAGAGAGGCAACGACACAGTATCCGACCCCCCATCAACAACAGCCTACATGCGCTGCTAAAGGGGCTTCTTCCTCCTCCTGCGATGGATGATGCCGCTAATGTGCTCAGGCTGCCCTGATTCCTGAGCCCACGCTGGGTCTCCGACTTTCCCCGGCACCCCCCAGGGGCCCCAGGTGTCCAGAGAGAGAAAAAGAGCCCCATGCAGTCAGGTCCCCGCGTACCCCCCGGGGTTCGGCACCCCCAGGTCGTCAGCAGCTCATCACGTCATGTGCTCAGGACCTCGCATCATGGAAAGCTCAAGCAGCACCCGTGAGGCGTTTGAGGCTCTCGTAGGTGCTGAAGGCGATGGCCATGCCCGGGAGCACCTTGGCAAACTCCGGTCCCAACCCCCGGTAGAAGGCCGCCACACCGCCCTCCGCATACACCGCCTTAACAACGTCAAGGTAGCGCATCCGGCCCAGCGCGCCACGCTCGTACACCTGCCGTATTACCGCTCATCATGATGCGCAAGTTTGGAAAACAGCCGATGTCATGTTGCAAAAAAGGAAAGGAGGGGACAAGGTCAGCGGCGGAGTGCAGCGCAAATGCGCGCACATGGCATAACATGAGGTGACGTGACGTTAGGGACGTCACCCAGGAGCTGAAAGGAAGATGTTGATTGAATTGTCTTGGTGCCATAGACTGACTGACTGTAGGACCTAAAGGAGTACGTGCTTTCGGGCCCATCCTTGTCCCCGTAGCTCTCCACCTCGTTCCCCCTCCAGGTCCCCACCCGTCCTACGAGTAGCATTTCCAATATCCTTTTCCGGACGTCCACCCCTCCCCCTTCCCCTCCCAGGCAGCTGCCTACCTGCAGCCGCCTCCGCACCACGTCCAGCGGGAATGTGAGGGTGGACGTACAGAGACCGGACAGACAGGCGCACGCGGCGCAGGCCAGCGGCGAAAGAGACACTGGAACGGTTGCTGCTCTCCTCGCAGCGCCCGCACCAGCCGTGTCTGTACCTCCAAGTTCTGGTGCCTGAGGTCCCTCCTCGCTATTCCCGGCGCCTCCGCTGCTGCTACAGCAGCTTCTACAGCAGTTGCTGCTACAGCCTTGTCCATGGCCGGCTATGCCGCCGCTTCCGCTGCTGCTACCTAGACCAGCCAGCTGCCACAAGTGTCGATACCACTGCATTTGGTATTGTTGTTGCTGCCCCTGCCCCTGCTGCTGCTGCTGCTGCTGAGTGTGAAGGTGAGTCTGGCTCCCATGTGGTAGAGGTGACACGCAGCTGGTGTCCGCCGCCGGGGCTTCCCCCGCCGTACCCTGCTGCTGCTGCTCCGGGTGGTGCTGCCGCCTGTGCAGCGTCTGCAGCTGGTAGTGCTGCTGGTGCTTCAACGCCAGGTGCTTGAACGTGTCATAGAAACAGAAGTTGAAGGCCAGCCCAGGCACTACTTGCACCAGGGTGGCGCCAAGTCCCTTGTAAAGCCCCGCGACACCGCGCTCCGTGAGGATCTGGCGCAGGGCAGTGGGGATGTGGCGCACCTGAGGCTGCGCCTGAGGGCGCGGATGCTGAGGACCGCCGGCGCTGATACCCCCGCTGCTGCTGCTGCTGCTGCCGCTGCTGGGGGACATGTCCGCTGCAATGCGGGTGCGCAGGAGATCCAGTGGATAAGCCTATGTAGAGGTCCAGGTGTTCATGCCCACGCGGGAGGAAGGGGCGGGGGGCCGAAGGGATTGCAAAAACTAAAGAAAGCCCAAGCGTGATAATCATGAGCTCAGCGCGTACATGGTGTACGGCAATTGGGGCCGCACAACCAAACTAAGTTCCGTTCCAGATGGATTCCGGTAACCCGAACGACACGACTTCCGTAATTGATTGATCGTTGTTAAGGTTAGGAACAACTACTACTGGAGGCTCGAGAGGAAGAGAGCTAGGAAGGCAGAGGCGCGACAAGACCCCTTCATCTCGACCTTTGCCCGCGTACCACTGTGCATGCGACGAGACCCGACACGGCGCCTGCCACCCAGGCTCGCGCTGACCCATTGGGTAACCGCCCCTGGAGCTTCGCTTTCGTGTACTCGTATGTAAGGAAGTTGGTGGCGGAGTAAGGGATACGGTGAATAATGGTAATAAAGTTGCCTTTCCATAGCGCCCAGGCACCCTCCGTGGCTGTAATGTGGCGAAGAGCTGCAAGCACGCCCATCTGCTGCCCGTGGGCGACGGAACCAGGTACTGAAAGGCCTCTAACCTGTGTAGAGCGAAGCGCGACTAGTGGTTAACTTGAAGCGGCCATACCGGCAGGTATGTGAGTAGCGGCTATAATTGGGAGGCTCTGTGATGCGCGCCTGGTAGAGAATCGTCAGGCGGGCCAGCGGCGCTGTGCAGGTCTTAGCTAGGGCACCCGAAACTCCACCACAAATTGAATGCTTCACAGCGTCATGAGAAAGTAATGGCGCAGCTTCACTAGCAGCCGTCTCGTCGCTGAGAAGCACCACGACGTCCTCATCGTCGACACGCGATGACGTTGTCTGGCTGCTGGTTGCTGAAAAAGAACGGCCCCATAGAGCCTCAGAGGCAGTCTGGGTTAATGGTGGCATCATTCGTTCGGCGCTTCTAGCACCCATCGCGACGAACCGAAACTAGTATGACGTACTTCAAGGCTTTCAAGTGCCTTCCAGCAGATAACTGCTTTCCAAATTGCACACGAGGATATGAAAACCAGTCTCTGGAAGGCGACTGACGAATGGAAAGCGATTATCGTCCAAAATACGGCACCGTCGGAGCCAGGGGCAAAATAATGCTTTGCGCCTGATTGGTTTTATGTCGGTGGAGGAGACTAGGGCGGAAGGAAACAAAAGTTGGCAATGCTTATTGCGCGTGCCCTCCTGTTGAAACGGTAGAACCCGGGACATAAGGAGCTATCAACAAGGGCTCAGCAGAAAAGCAGCCGGCTACTGTGTATATGAAGGACAAGGTACCACTAGCTCATAGCGTGCGGTAAGCCCTTCAAAGGTTTGGCGCCCTTTTCGCCCGTCCCGCAATAAATAGCCGCGTCAATACTTTACCTCTCTGCGATCCTCCCATAAAACCTACACCTCCAGCATGACGTCATCTTTCACGTCGTTTTCCTCCTCTCCTCTTGCGCACCTCGTCTTCCTGGGCAAACCCGGCAACCACACACAGCTTTTCTCCCCAATCTACGGTGTTGTCCATCCCTCTTCACTCTCCTCTTTCAGGCTTCTCAATGTGAACATTGTGGCTGGCTTCGTCAAAGAGACTATAACCCCGTGACCCAGTCCTTAAGCGGCCTAAGGCATGGGCAACGCATTCTCAGGCAGCAGTGGCAGGTCCTCAGGCAGCAATGGCGAGTCATTAGGCAGCATTGGCAAGTCCTCAGGCAGCAATGGCGAGTCATTAGGCAGCATTGGCAAGTCCTCAGGCAGCAATGGCGAGTCATTAGGCAGCATTGGCAAGTCCTCAGGCAGCAATGGCGAGTTCTCCAATATTATCCCAGACAGCACCGACCCCCAGGACTGGAGGCAGCGAGGCGTTGAGCTGGCAAGGGCTCGTCATGATGCATTCACCGCCAGCAGGGCAGCCTACACTGCGGGTGACTACAAGCTTGCTAAGGAGCTATCTCATAAGGGCAAGGAGTACGCAGCGCAGGTGTGGTTTTGGCGCACGCTTCTAGATTTCTAGAAGTTGTAACCGCATTTGCAGTAGACTGTCCTTTCCCTCTCTGTCACTCTTCCTACTGGTTAGAGTATCCAGGCTCATGCGAAGGCTGCAGCTCTGATTCTCCAGCGCAATAGCAGGAGGTCCGGATTTCTGGACCTGCATGGATTGCGAGTGACGGAAGCTGTAGCGGCGGTGGAGCAGGCGCTTGCTCGCGGACGCGAGGCGGGTACGTCGCGGCTGGTGTTGGTGGTTGGCCGCGGGCTGCACAGCCCCGGCGGTGTGCCAAAACTACGGCCCGCAATTGAGGAATTAGTACGGCGTTATAACATACGTGCAACAGTGGGTGCGCCAAATGAAGGATGCATCACGTGCGAGTTTGTCAGTGCTGCGGAGAGAGGTTGGGTGGAGTGGGTAATGGACCGGGTTTGTGTCATTTCTTAAATCGGTAACAAATGGACAACCTGGTTTGTGTCCGAGTGTAGTTCTTATCAAAGAATTCATTGCAACATACCAAACAATGATCGATTTACAGTGTCAAACATTTCAAATCGCGGTACGATTCCTGCTACAGACATAATCTCATGGACAGGACATGCATATTTCCGAACTGCCGGCATGCAGATTGATGAATGTACAGTGATATTCAAGCAAATCGAATCATCAAATTTTCAGATATTGGTCAAGTTTTTCTCCACTGATTTCCTCGAGCTGCGTCAGCACCTCCCGAACCCTTGCCGCCACCCCCGGGTCCGTATCCTCAAGCAGTTCACTGAAAAAGGGCAAAGCCTCCGGCAACAGCACCAAATACTCCTCCCGCAGCCGCTCCACCAGCTGGGCAATCACCTCCAATGCCAGAGCACGAGTTCTTGGATTAGCATTACGCGTCAGCATAAGCGTTGCGTGATTTAGCGGCTTCCACAGCGCGTCATTGTTTACCGCCACAGCCATTGCAAGCAGCGAACCAACCGCGGCTGAACCCAACGGACCAAGCGAAGCTGCGCCATCGGGCGCAGTGTACATTCGAGTTGACGCGCCCAGGATGACATATGCTGACAAGTCCTTATCCTCGTGCTGGGGAGAGCGCAGATAGGCCGTCACTACATCAGGAGGTTCAGAAGCTAACTGACTAACCAGAGGTGTCTGCAGCCGTGCGAAGCGCTCGCTGTCGATGAAGCCGACGGAGTCGTGGTTAAAGCAGCGGTGCAGCGCGCGGATAATCCGCAGGCGAAGCAGCCAAGCCAAGCAGACCTGTTGGTCATTATAGCTTGCCGCTGCGTCGACAGAAGCAGCTGCACTGCGCCGAGGCTTCTTCTTGCTGCGTGCGCCCTTGCCGTCCATGCCATCAGCACCACCCAGATGTTGTACACATAGGTCCAGCAGGTAGCGATAGTATGGCACCAGTACAGAGCGCAATCTGTCTGCTAGCGCGTTGACGACGCCAAACATAGCCACCATTCGGCCTAGGTACGAAGGCTCGCCTCCTGCACCAGGGGCCTCCGACACCGTGACTGTTGACGCCCACTCCAACAGCCGAAGAAAAAGTGGTTTGAACCGCACTTCGCTGAGCTTCATCACTAGTGCAACCACCGCAGAAATAGCAGCGTCTTCGACAGTGTTAATCGCGAAGTCCCCATGCACACCAAGAGCCTTGGGGTGCCGTTGGCGAACATCCAGTGCGCTCAACAAGAAGGCGAACATGGACTCGCTATTTTGCGCCGCTATCTTCGATTCCATTGAAATGGCAGCCGACGCCACCATATTCAGCAGCGACACTGTCGGCGCAGCAGCAACTGCTGCCGCGCCAGGCTCAGCGTCGGTCGCTGAAGCGATGCACGGCTCAAACCTTTCGTATAACGCTGGCAATAAAAGCCGAGGTGCCACTGCCGTCGGAAGGCGTGCACGAATGCTGGCAGCAAATTTGTCGCAGCTGGCAGCCGTGCACGCCAACACATGGGGGTTCAGCAAGATCGCCAGGATGGACGGAAGGTGCGGACTGAGGAAACCACCCATATTCTCCACGAGCGCGTTCAGACAGGCAAGCGCGCTGGACAGCTCCAGGGCTGCGTCGCCTGCAGTGCTACGCTTTCGCCGTGAGGCTGGCATCGCCGAATCACTGTCTTCACTAAGCTCATCCATATCCGACGACAGATTCCCAACACAATACGCAGGATCCCCCATTGCTGCATCGACGCTCCCGTTTTCCGGTCCAACACCAGCCCGTGCCAGCCGTGCCCAGGCTGAGTCTGCTGCCGCCACCGCCGCCGACACAGTTGCCGGCAGTACAGGCACCAGTTGCGCCTTCAGCGCATCTACGAAAGCTGCCACTGTAGCCAGCGCACTTGCGCGAACACTGGCGTGCGAATCCTTCGTAGCTGCTAGGACTACCGGAACACTTGCCAGGAGCGCCACTTGTTGCTGCGATCCAAACTCAGTCGCAATAGTAGCCAGCGCTACAAGCGCAAGCTGACGCGTCAGCGGCGATGCGCCATGGCTGGACGAGCCCTGGAGCAGCGACGGCAGCATGGCACAAGCACGGCCCGCTGCATCGCTGGCCTGGCGCAACTTCGCGTTGCGGACACGTTGCGGAAGCTCAATTTGGTCTTGGATGTCGAAACGCACACCCCGAACCTTGTCCGTGAAGAGCTTTAGCGCGCGCCTCTTGACTTTGTCGGCAGTGTGCTCCAGTAGCGTTACAAGAGATTGCAGGTACGTGTCAGAGGCCATAACGCCCTGAAGCGCCGCAAACATGGCATATAGCCCCCGACTGGCCGACAGGACCGCGTGTTGAAGCCCGGAACCGGAAAGATCAAGCGCCGGTGTTGCGTAATCGGGCTGGAGCACTTGCATTTGCGATAACGCAGCTTCCATTAGGCGGCGACAGCCCATGTCCAAGGCGGGATCGGGATCGGGACGGCGGAAGGAGGCACTGGCAGCCGCCACAGCAACCTTGAGCTGCAAGAGTAGCAAAGGAAGCAGTTGCAATGCAAAAATCATTGCAAGGCGGCCTAGTAGCTTCTGTGGAAATGACCGTGGACAAATTCGAAATCGCGTGAACCGAAGTAGCCTCAGAGAAATCCGCTAATTTTATCATCACCCGCTGCAGCAGCCCCGTAGGGCCACCACATCAGTGTGTGTAACAATTGGCTAAATCATCGGCCAAAGGTTCACGTGCAACAGCATGAAGCGAAAAACGCGTCTACGCGCATGGACAGGCAGACGAACTGCAAGTGTGGCCTCAGAGAAATCCGCTAATTTTATCATCACCCGCTGCGGCAGCCCCGTAGGGTCACCACATCAGTGTGTGTAACAATTGGCTAAATCATCGGCCATCATGGGAAATGCAAGCTATCGGATGACACGACGGGAGTAGGTCGTAACATGCATGGCTGTCCTACAAACAGATTTCTGAACGATACAATCCAGAGAGGCGTCCTCACCTTCAGCTGAGCAGTAACAAAAACGACAACCGTGCGGGGGAAAGCCTTGTGTGCCTGCTGGCTACTAGCACTCATGGCCATTTCCATAATACGAGAAAAGCATGCCAGCCGAACAGGAAGCTCCACCTGCATGGAACAACGAAACAACCCTCTTGTGATTTCGACAAAACACCGATGGATGTCCGAGAGAGGGGGTTAGGTAGGTCTTGAAGAGGCCTCAGCAACCGTAGTAAAGTAGTCAGCACAACTTATCTAAGACTGACGTGCAAAATGGATATTTTGTCATCACTGGCCTCGCCCACCACTGTTTAAGTGGAAGGAAATAGCAGGCATCCTGATAAAACAGAAATTCACATTTCAGTGACGACTGGGCACACATACCTGGAGCGCCAGCTGGGATGCCAATTCAGGAAGCCAGTCCAAAGGAGACTGCTCCCGCAAACCATTATGCACAACCTCGGCTTGCTGCACCGCACTGCCATTCTCGCCCTGAGTGGGGATAGCTTCAGGTATGGAAGGTTTTGCAGTGTGTTGCAGCAACACAAACAGCCCATTGGACAAACCGTCTTCCACCTGCAGAACATTAACGACACACGACCAACGATTAAATCCATGCGACGAAGATCAAGATAAGAAAGATGCAGCAATTAAACGAATAACGTGTGAACTATATTCGCCACCCAGCCCAATTCAAAGCGTCCGTCAGACAAATGCCTCGATTGTCATCGTAGACGGCTACAGCACCGACAGAACGCCGGATGCCGCATAGGCGCCGCTCGGATTCGTCATCTAGTGGTCATCAGCCGGTCGCTTTGGCTATGCAAGTCAGTCATGCGAACAGAATAATTCCGTACAGCTATGCTGGGCCGTCAGACAAATGCCTCGATTGTCGTCGCAGTCGGCTACAGCACCGGCAGAACGCCGGATGCCGCATAGGCGCCGCTCGGATTCGTCATCTAGTGGTCATCAACCGGTCGCTTTGGCTATACAAGTCAGTCATGCGAACAGAATAATTCCGTACAGCTATGCTGGGCCGTCAGACAAATGCCTCGATTGTCGTCGCAGTCGGCTACAGCACCGGCAGAACGCCGGAGACTGTGTCATGCCGCTCGGATTCGTCATCTAGTAGTCATCAGCCGGCCGGCAGCTATGCTCACTGACATGCTTGCCCTTGTTCCCATAACCAGAGACCTTCCTTACCGCGGGCAGCGCTCGCAGCAGAGCCAGCAACACATCAAGCCGGCGATGCGCCGGAAGCGAAGGAAGGGACGAGACAACTTGCTCCCAGAGAGGGGCCTGCATCCGACCGCCTGCCACCCATGCCGGCACTACAGCCGCCAGGGCCGTTGCACCCACCGCGCGACTGTGTTCGTCATCCTGGAGTCCCGCCGACTGGTTCACGACAGCCAACACCTGCAGGCAAATACCATCGGAGGTTGATCTGCTTTGGAGAAAATGATTAACGACACATCCACCATCCTCCCCATATAGCATTGGCAGTGAAAATCAGCAGACCTCATGTGAAGAAATAAGCATCACGAAGCACTTCAGAAACTGTGAAAGCTGTCAAAAGGTTTCTTAATCATCGGTCCGCCGCTACTGCAATGCTGAACAAGTGACTGGAGTAGTACAGGCTAAACGAAGATCCATAGGTAAACCCTACCTGCAGGACGTGAGACAAAGCGGCTTCTGGCGTCCTGGTTGCCAGAGCTGCCAGCAAGCCCAATGCCGCATTTCGTACGGATGCATCAGGCGCCTCGCGCGCCATGCATACAGCCAGCTCCAGGTCAAACAAGTGCAGATCAGCAACATCCGTGTTAAGTGACAAAGCCGTTAACGCCTGCAGGGCGAGCGTTGCCGCATACCCTGCAAGCGAGGACTTATTGCCAGAGGCCTCGTGTGCACTGTCATCACCGCGCTCATCCCCTGCTGCGGGGCTTTCAGCCTCCAGAACGCTTGAAATGCTACCAACGATTGGCTGCAGCCTGCGCAGCAGCGCCTGACACGCGGTAACCACCAGATGCGCGGATGAGATACCGTTGCGCCACTGTAACAGTTCCAGGACAGCTACGGTATCGCGAAGCAAAGGCAGCGTTACTTGCGTCGACGGTGGCTCTATTGAAGCGCCCATTCCATGGCCAGCCGACTCAATCTTGCTCTTCTTCTTTGCCCGACTATCCAACCCGTCCGATTTTTCAGCCGGAGCCTTGTTCGAGCCGTCACCTCGCAGCTCTAGGAGAGGGACCAGCACCTCGGCTGAAAGCTGAACGACCTCCAGAGCAGACCTAGCAGCTGAGCGAACCTCCGCGCAAGGATCACACTCATGCCTGTTCAATAGAACAGCAAACAGCTCTCGCACAGTACGGCCCGGCAGTGCGGCGAACAACTCACGCGAGACTTGTCGGACGGCTGCGAGACGTGCAGCCGCCAGAGCTGCGGTAGCTGTTGATTGCTGCGCAGAGATTAATGGCGACGGCAGCTCGGCCGCCTCGGCCAACCGCCCTAACGCCGACTCGTCCGTTGTCGCGGCAACGGTAGCTGGTGTGAACAGTGAAGTCACAAACAGGCCCACCGCCTTGCCGTCCAGGGCCGTGGCGGACAACGGCGAACTCTTAAGCTTTAGGATCAAGTATGACAAGTACGTGGTGCCAGCTAAGAAGAGTTCCGAGCTAACCGAAGGCGGTGTCGTCGATGATGATGCGGTCATAGGTCTGGCCACTAGGCAGGATAGCACTACACAGGCGGTGTTGACGCCGGGAGCATCCACGCCAAGGCCAGGAAGGCTAGACGCAAGGTAGGAAGCAACACCAGAAGCAAGGGCCCGTGGCAATGATAGGCCTCCCGACTGCACGTCCTCTGGATGCAACGCGCCTTGTAGTAAAACAGAGATGGCATCTGGGTCGCGGCAAAGCAGCTTTCTGTGCGGCAGCAGTGCCGAAGATAATGCAGGCGCTACGTCTTTGGACGATTCAGTCACACCAGAAACCCGTGCCACGTTGAGTACCGCATCCACTGCAGCCAGACAATGGCAGGCTGCGGCTCGAACAGAAGCCTCTGAGCTCGCCAGCGCAGGGAGCAACATGACCAGACAGCTCCGAGCACTATCCGCCGTGACCAGCTGAGCCTGCACCTGAAGCGCCATGCACTGCAATGGCGCCGGAACTGAAGCGGCCGACTCCAATGCACCAGATACAGCAGCTGATCCAGCAGGGGACGCCGGGGCTGCATACAAGCCCGACAGGAAAGCGCTCCGCTCTGATGCCTGAACCGAGCGCGTAACCACTAACCGAGGCAAGTCGCGCAAACCGTCGAGCGAGTAGTTCAATGAAGCCAGCAGTCCCAACAAGCGCCTAGCGCGAAGCCTTGCTGTGGACTCGTCAGCGGTAGAGCCATGGCACGTTTCCGGCAGACGAGCCAAGCTAGCCTGGAGTGATCCCAAAATAAGGGCCCAATGCAACGAGATTGGGTCTGTGAAGAATGCGGCAGCATGATCATCTTGGGTTGCTCCTTCCGCAGATGAGATCTTCTCAGAAAAGGTTTTACACCAGTCGTAGTCGCCAGCGCCTTCAAGCCGAGCGTACGGCAGCAACATTTCCGCTAAGTCGACCACAAACCGAAGCAAACTTAGTGCTGTGTCCGACAGGCCACCAGCCGCGCTGGATGGTGCAGCGGCAACGGCAGCTACACAAGATGAAAGCAGCAGCAAATGTTGGGCGCGCACAGATGCTGACGCTGCCGTATCACCGCCTGCAACAGCAGCAGCAGCGCTTGCAGCAACGAGATGCTTAATGCTGGGCAAACAAGCCGCTGCATCCGCCGTCAGTGATTTAGTCAGTGCAGACACAACGCTGCGCTCAACAACCGTCGCCTTTTTGGTTGAGCTGCCCTTGCCCTTGCCAGCAGATTCAACGCCCTTAATATGCGCCTCCACCTTGTCCATGGCATCAACAAGCTCGGAGAACAGCGGCATGCCGAGCTTCGATGCTGCGCGAGCTGCCGCAATACTAACTGCAACGTCCCGCTTTGTAGGTATCATAAGCTCCAGCAGATGTAGTGCTGCAGATTGCCGTAGTTCATCCGATGTCGATACCGTCCCAACGTGAGACAAAAGCCCAACAACCTTGCGAGCAGCCTTGCGCGCGGCCTTGAGTTGCGGCAACTTCGCAGAACCGTACAGTATGTCCCCCAAGCGATATGCCAGCGGAACCACTGCGTCCAGCAGAGCTGCAGGCGGTAGCTCCTTGAGGCAAGACAGGCCGAGGGCAGCCACCACAACGCCGAGGTCGTCATCACGGAGGCGGCACAACGCCGCCGCCGTCAGGGCTGCACGCGCCTCGGACGCGGCGGCACAAGTGGATGCATCCTCTGAAGCCAGGGGCTGCGCAGTTGACGCAGCCAAGTCTGCATCCAATTGCCGAAGGGCCAGTCGGCGTACAGCTGCCTGTGGCGCCACTAGCGCAGCAGCAAGCGTCAGCATGGTTCCGCCACACGGTGCCGAGTAGCCGCCACAGGCAAAAGTTGACCTGACAAAGTCGAAGCGTGCACGCTTCTCCGAGGAAAGTTGGGCGGCGACCGCCTCGGCCGACTCGATTACGGCATCGTCGCTGTCGTCGTCATCGGATGTCGGACCCTTACTATCGGCCTTGTGCTTTGTCTTGCGGCGTTTGTGCTTTTCGCAAACGTCCATGTCGTCCTTAACACCGGACGCATTCTGGCGCGGAGGACGTAGCGGCTCCAAATAAGTGTTGACAGCCTCATCCGTAGTCTCGGGATAGCGCTGATCAAGCACCCTGAAAGATGCAGTGGTGCACACATTCCAACTTAGGGTACAACAACGTATAGACCAGGGTACCATGACCGTTGATAGGCCTGTGACAGAATGTAAGCGGTGGCACGCAAGGCAAGGATATCTGGAGTCTACCGAGTCTTCAGAGATAAGGGAAGAATGCGCCCTCAGGATTCAGGCCGCAAAGGGTTGATTTTTCCATCAACAGACTCTCAACTCAACACTCCGAAATAACCATCCTGGGGCCAAGCCACCATGTTTCCTCCAGTCATTTAAATGAAGGCCGAACTAGTTCAGTTCATACCACAATCGCACCTGAGAATGCGCTGGCAGCTTTCACGTACGGACGAGTCAGCATTCGACGAGCCACCAGCCTCCAGCAAGGCAGATGCCAAGGCGCGCGCCGGCTCACCACGTAGAGCCCCAGAGTGAGTCAGAGCCAGCAGGTCTCCCTCGCAGCGCCGCCCTGAACTACTGCCGGCAGGTCTGCCGGTGCCCACCATGGAAGCGGCCAGAGAGCGGACAATCAACATCAGCAGCGGGCCCGTCCGGATGTTGCCGCGTTGTGCAAGAGACCCCAGCTCTGAAATCAAATTCGGAAGCGACGATAAGTACTGCAACGCGGTATAACATGCAAGGGTTCGATGTTATTGGCTTCAAAGGAGTCGAGGCATGAAAGCTATAATGGGAACCACCAGCTCAGCGAAACATACAACGAACAAGGGCAATAAGGGGGTGACAAGGGATTAGCTTTGAAGATGTCCCTTGCTGGGTAAGACCCAAGAGGTAACTGCCCCGACGGGGCTCCCCAAGGCGATGGAATCAGCATTGGTGACGCACAAGCCAGTTCCGCTCAACCTAGGGTGCAACAAGGCACCAAAGGGAACATGAAAAACCCAGCGCGCAGTCAATGTACGGTGTTCCCCGGGAACATACACCCACAAGTGCGTCGAAAGCGACACCGGGTGCTCCCGCTAGGGGGCTGCAGGGACAAGGCATGTCAACCCACAGCCCACCCCATTTTCACGTGTTACATGGACCTTGTACTGGAAGGAAAATATGTAAAATTGAGATAAATGCAAAATTAACCATACCTTGAGCGTTTTGTCGGATAGAAGCTGGATATGTTTCTGCGTGACGGCCATGTGCGCCATGACGAGTAGTGTTGTACGGACATGCTCCGGAACCGGCTCGGTGTACTTGAGCATGGTGTTAAGGATCACTGCATGTTGGCAGGGGATAGCCAAATCGGGGTCACTAGGTCGCCTTGGCAGGAGGTGGCTTCGCAAACGCAGGGAAACGGATCCGAAATCCTTCAAGTGTGAGCGCACAGGATTCGGGCTCATGCAAGATTGGAAGCCTCAGGGAATACAAACTGTAATTGGTGTCGCGCATCGCCTAGGGCCTCACCAAAGCAATATTCTCATCAACGGCATTCCAACCCTTCCTTGCGCCTGACTGCCCAGGCGCCAGTATCATGCATCCTGCAGCAATACCCCGATTGGCACAAACCCAAATCAATGAAATGCACGTTAAGCAATGACCTAAACACCCTGAAACAGATGCAAAACGCTCACCTTTGACGAAGTCCCTGCCAAGTGTAGCTCGACTGAACAACTCCGCGACTGCCATCAGGGTCGCAGCGCGGTACTCTTGCGCCGCGCCCTTCCCGATACCCTCCAGCAAGTATGGCAAGATGGCTGCGAGAAAGTCTTCCACGACTTCCGGTAACAGGGCCAACACTTCACAGAGAAGCACCGCGTAGAAAGAAAGGTAGGTTCGGCTGTGGGTACGTAGAGCAGATGCGCCTGAGCGAACGGAGCCCAAGGCGGTGCCACCCAGCTGGCCGGCAGCCTTGCAGATGAAGAGGAGCAGCTGGCGGTCGTTGACACACCGTTGCGCTAGGAGATCTCGTGGCAGGGAAGCTCCCGACGACTGCATCTTGGCAAGCCATCCCCACAAGCTGCCGGGCGGGCCGATGGCCAGCGTTTGGACGAGGCGTACGAACTCGTTCGTCGAATGATAGGGAAGAGCAGCGGTCAGGAGAGAGTCCACATTCCGTTCATTGGCCCTGTGCAAGTACACCAACGATGGGTTTCGTTGTTAAAAACTGTGCACCTCATTATAAAGCTGGAAAGACACGTACCACCTCCAGGTGTTATCGAATAAAAACAGGCAACATCGCATGAAGGGACATGTAGATACATGCTCAAGCGTCCGGCGCAAGACTCTTACAAGGCGTTATGGGACGGCCGACTACGTCGTTGGGAGCGGTTGTGCGTGGACAACGACGGCGCCAACTAACCTGTAACGCCGAATTAGGTATTCCAGAGCTTTGAACGCTCCCGGAGACAGGAAGTGGTTGCTTAGCAAGCAGCAGAACTCATGGACGGACTCGCTCAGCTTCGACAAAAATTCCGAAGTCTGCAAATCTGGGTTGATGTCTAGACTTGCACGGCTGAACAGGCTCTCCCGGAATGGCCTAAATCGCGGTTCCAAATGCATCAACTCGTCAAGCCCTGTAAACACAGAAGGAAGGCAGAATTTTGGCCACAGCAACCAAAACCGCAACTTCGAAAATAGTGACACATACATATTTGCTACCCTTGGGAATATAACCTCCTTAAAGAAATTTGTTGGCAAGGCACCACGTCCACCCTGGGTTGTCGGCGGCGGCCGCCGGCCAAGGCCGCCACATCGAAAATTTGTCCCGAAGTTTCCTTCCACAGTGCTTACCTTGACACGCGACGTCATATATTGTCTGCAAATCAATATCAGCCGCCTTTTGAAAGTCGAATAGCAACGAGGGCTTGCCCTTCTTAACCGCCGCTGGCAATGCCGGCTGACGCTGCCGGGCCAGCGCTTGCAGCTGGCTTGCCAGCACAGAAGTCATTGTACTCAATTCCTCAAAAGTTGTTTTATGGCAAAACCTTTTCAAAACATTCATGCATCCGCATCCATCGGCTGCGCGCTGGGAACGAGAGTGGAACAATGTCCACGGAGAAAAGAACTTACACCGGGCCTGGTGCCCTAATAAATAATCTGCACAAGCACAGCCTTTTATTGCCGGCAAGGTTTACAAAGGGCTTATGTGCCGCACCCTTTTCGGTTCATTTGCAACCAACTGTTTATTCCCTAGTGGCATCTAGTTATCTAATTGCCCAAATATTTCCTGGGGCACCTGACAGCACCCCTGTACACTCTTTGATATGGGCATTAAGAAAATAGGCCTGCCAGGAACTGCATGGAAAGACCATTCCACTCATGGCAACCATCGCACGCTCCCTCAAATCCGTCGTAGTTCAACTCTGACTCCATATCGTAGCGGAGCTTGTGGCCTTCTTGCGCAGCCGCGCAGCCAACGCCGCCAGTTTCCCCAGCAAATGAGCCTGTTGTGGGGTTTTGCAAATGGGTACCGCAAGCACAGCACTGAACGCCCGGCGGCAAAGATAGGCGGGGAAGTTCCACAGGACAGCAATCAGCCGCTCGAGTGTGTTCTCACCCCAGCGTCACGGGTGTTCCCTAGCGTATTCAATCGTATACAGTCTCACCATCATTAGATGTAACCACACCCTTCGTGGTCTCCGCGGCTGCCAAGGCTCTATTACTGTTGGTCACCTCAAAGCGCATGTCGTGCACGAGCTTTCGATCTTCTTCGCTGTGCACAGCTGCAGAGCCCCTGCGAAATTCGTGCCAAACTCGTTCCCTGTCACTTTTCCCGTGTTTAAGTTGGGATCTGCGCCGTGACATTAAGAAGATACATACCAGAGGTCTGCTGCAGCACATATTTCCATCAGGTTGCACCGCTTGATGGTGTACCGGCTGGGCATCGCAAAGCAAGCTAGGACGTTCTGCCTAGCTAAACGAGTCATGTGCACCAGACTGTGCGGTGCACAAGTGGCCGAATAATCAGCAGCTGCACCTGCATCGCGGCCAGCAGCGGTAGCACTATGCCGTGTTGGGTAGGGCTCATGGGCAGGCCCCAGCCGGACAGGCCGGAGCTGCAAGTGCACTGCGTACAGCTGTCCGTGGTTCGCCAGGCTAGGTCCAGTCTTGGAGGCGCCAGGCACTGAAACCAACAAGCGAGAAACAGGAAGCCCACCTACATTACAGTTGGGCATGGAAGGGGACACCCAAGGGTTGGCCGCCGCTGTGGCTTAAGCTAACAGCTTTCCTTGTATTGTATTGTATTGTTCACCCCCAGGCCTAGGCTCACCGTGCCCGCATGTGCCACCTCATGGCCAGACAAAATACCATTGGTTCCAAGCTTGCCAAGGGTCGTACAGCCTTAGGAAAGGAACAAGACCTCCTTGCAAATCCCTGATCCTGTTATGCACAACCTACCCAACTATACATGACGGCCTTTGCTTAGATCACCCAGGCGGCAACGTTTTGTGCTTACCAAACAGCTTCTCGACGCTTACTCCAGTGCTCGCCGTGCTCACACAGTTCGGTGGATCTCGTTGCAGCAGCACCACTGTCGGAAGCCGCTGCACATGGCACAAAGAACCCGAGAGGGGCTCAGCCCTGCTGCAGGCCGCCGAACTGCGCGAGAACCACTCACTTCCTGACGTTTTTCATCTGCATGCAGCCCAAGCAGCACGGGCGCCCAGCCTTGACCCACATCACCACCAAATCTTACCCTTACGGCCATCGCCGCCGCCACTTCGCTTTTCATGAAGCCAGTTGAATTGCTACCGGCTGTCTTGTTTGTGTTAGTCGTGTTGCCTGCACCTGGACGATGCACTGTTGCCATGGCCGGTGTATCGGTTGCACCCTTCATGACCCCTTCCGCACCATGACACACCAGCTGCTCCTGCTGCTGGTTCCCTTCCCTATCTTGCAGCGGCTTGGGCCAAGGAAGATCCGACACGCGCACCAGTTTAACCGGGATATTTAGTGGTGGCAGGGTGTCGTCCAGCATGTCGTCCTCATCCCCCGGCTGGCCAGGGCTTAACCTGCCTGGGCTGAGATGTGTATCCATTCGACAAGCGCTGTCCTCGCCGGCAGTTCCTACTGTCCCTTCTGGGTCCGCCCCTGAGATTGCTTTATTGCGTTCATCAGAGGAATCGGACTCCACTGCAGCTCGACACTGAACACGACCAGTTGATGCCCCTGAGTGACTGCAGTGAAGGGGATCGGCCAGTGCTTGCAAGGTAACAGGGCTCATCACTTCCGTGCTGCGGTTCGGCCCCGTGTTTTGTGGGCGAAAGGTCTCAGACGTTGGGGTGGGTTGCATTCTTCGGGAGGTGGGAGGAAGCAACTGGTCATCGCCTTTGCTGACCATGCCATGTTCCGCATCGGCCTCAGCGCGTTGGGCCCCGGCAGACGACCCATGTATGCCCACGCACCGTTCTGCAGCAGCACTAACGAATCAGTTCAGATAAGGTCAGCGGCAGTGAGAATATGTCCTGGATTACCTGGAATTTCTTCGTGCTGTGGAAGCGAGTGAGCCAGCTTGTCTATAGGGACCGATGCAAGTGGAGCAGGGCTAGTCGCGGGCGCGTGGACTGCGGACGGCAAAGTGGCTTTGTACTGGATGTCAAGTTCCCGAGTCATTGGCATCGCGGTTGGGGCAGGGCGCAGTGAAGGCGCGATGTGGGTCACGCTGGGAGCGGGTTCACTGGCGTCGCTTCGGGTGTTGCTTTTGCTGCCAACAGGCGACAGCTTATGCGCCGGCATTGTCGCGGATGGCAGCTTAAGGTCTGCGACGTTATGATGCAAGCCCTGTGACCTGGATGCGTTGCCAACGTCCCCCGTGACGATGGGCCGACCCCCTGAGGTAACCCTCACACCAGAGGTAACCCTCAGGTTGACATGGGGCGAAACGGCTCTGTCCATATTAGCTGTCACCTCCTGCGATGCCCCTATGGACCGTAATTCATCGTTCGGGTAGCTTCTTCTGGGTCCTGGCGGCCGGAAAGCCAAGCGTACTGGCGCGGTCGCTACTGGGCAAGCAATTTTGCCCTTGAAGAAGCGTGGTCCCAGCTCTAGCTTTGAAGGCTCTTCAGCCCCCTGTAGAATTTCAATTATATGTAATATAAAGTGAGCCGTCAGTGTTGTTGAGGACGGACGCCGTGATGGGCTTAGCATTTCATTCAATAAGCCAAGCTTCCATACCTGCTGAAGTGCCTTGCTTATCAACGGAGAATTGAACAAGCGTTTGCGTGACGGTAAATGCTGTTTCATAACAGGTTGGTGAGAGTTGATCGCATTGATCTCAACATTCGGAACAAAATTCTACCTGAGCACATTCGTCTGCAGGCAGTAGCTGTCTTTTCATGGCTATAATTGTGTTGGGGTTATATGATAGGCAGGTAAACTTAAGGGATAGGATAGGATAGGAAGGATACTTAAGTTCCTAGCTATGACACGGTTTACGATCTAGTTCCCGGTGAGTTCTGCACCCCGAAGTAGCACCACATAATAGGCCCTTAGAGGTCCATTAGCTCAGCAATAGATTAATACAGGAAGAGAGTTGCCATGCTCCAAAAATTTTTGGGGATCCAGTCAACTCAAAACCGGGTCGTAACTGGGTCGTATAGGGCCGGCTCCCATTCGCGAGTTAGTGGGGACATTTAAAATAATTGAGCAGCTTCAATTCGGGCACTTGGATCACGCAACTTTTAGCCACCTTCAAGCTAACAGGGCCCGCCATAGTTAGTCCGTACTCAGAATCGCGCGAACTCAATCCTGAATTGTAAGCAAGTTTATAGATAAAAAATTAATATAAGAGATTGTCATGATTTCAGTGCTTTAGTTTGCTTCGGTGCATGATGAGCTTACCACCTGAGCGACCTCAGGTTGTAAGTTCGCGAGCTCTTGTTAACCAATTTATATAATTCATTAAAATATCCTCTTTAACGGTAACATGGAGTTGCAATGGAAGCTGCGGTACGATTACAGTTGACATAACTCAGCTACCAACCTACCATGGAAGGACGCGACTTATAGCCAGATTTTGGTGGGGTGGAGCGGCATTTATCTTACCATATCTATAGGACACTAACTGGCTAATGGGAGCCAGCCCATAGTTTGCTTAGTCCTCGCTGCTTTTCCAGCTGAACTGTTGAAAGTGGACCACATCTTACCGTAAGGTGCATTTCAATCCACAAAAAACAGACCTGCCTTTACGCTTCAACAAATTTGGACTCCATAGTTCCCCAGTTCAGCTGAGGCATGGCCGGCGCTCTGCGGCAATACCCTGTAGCACCACATGACTGGGTATCTGATAGTTTGTTCCTACATAACAGCAAAATTTATCTCCCCGCAACTCGCACTTACAATCGGGTTGCCAACCTAATAAAAACGGAGCACCAGGAATGGGACCTGGTGGGACTGCCAAACTACTACTGCTTCCTGCTCACAGCCATACTGCCCTCAAAGGCATGCCGCGGCATGTGCCGCGCCATATACCAACTGAAAATATTCCCTGACGCCGCCCACAGGGGGCTCAGGACAGCGCGTACACCAGCTATGCCTCGTAACTAGCTCTTGAAGAGCCTTACGCACGTTCAGCGACAACCGACCCAGCATGAGAGGCCTCCAAACATGACCGCCCACGACGCCGTGACACCATTTGAACATATACCACAAGAGCAGGAATCCTCATGTGCCTGCTTCCCTTTCACTGTCGTTTGGGTAGGGCGTCGGCACTGCATACACAGCTTCATTCTTTCAGATCTCTGCAAAACCCACATCGCACTATACTGCAGGCCGCACCGTACCGTACACATGTTGCCGGGTGCATCATTGGGGTAGCTTCCTGGTGGGGCACACACCTCGCACCCAATCCACATGGCACTAAGATACGCCCAAGCAAAAGCCTTCCCGGCTGCAACTGCGTGCCGTTACTTTTGGCAAGGTCACCAGCTCATTTCACCAGGCTGCCCGCTTTCCGTGCCCCAAGCGCGGCCCGACGGCATTACCTTCTTGATCGCGAATGTAAATCCCTTGACGGGCTATCCTTTGTCCGGCGGGGACGGCAATATGTGGCACTGGCAAAGGCCTGAAAAGGAGCGCCAAGATGCAAAGGGCCGCCTTGAAACTCTCCCGTGCATGAATGACCTCATCGTACATGGTAGGTCCCAAAGGATCACCGGTACATGCCGCACTCAGGCGCTGTGGCGCACAGTGGCCACATGACTTGCGAACGCCAAGCTGACGTTCGTGCCATGTACTGAAAAAAAACAGCCTTCGTCAAGCATCTTATGCGTGGTATAATAGCTTGAGCAAGAAATTAGTATCTACGGGCTTCGTTGCATCGAGCAATGATCACAGTTTGTTTGTGCGCCGTCATGATGGCGGAATCGTATGTCTCCTAGTCGACGTCGACGATATGTTCGCCACAGCTAGGAGTGAGCAGGCTGTTCTTGACATTAAGGCAGCCATCATGCAGCGATTTAAATATCACGACTTGGGTGAATCTGATTTGTTTTTGGTTCTTTCAATCAAGTGCGACGTGGAAAATTGGATCATAACTGTGACCCAGCGATGCATGACGAAGGAGATTGTGGGCGCGTACGGCATGAAGAATGCCAGGCCAAAGCCGATCCCCATGAGCCGATCCCCATGAGTACCATATTGGCATGCAGGCAAGAATTTCCAACGGCCCGTAACTCTGGTCCTAACCTGCAATAGCAAAGGAATGATGGCTTCCCTGCAGTTACCGTAGATAAGGGGCACAGTTGGGGCCGCATGACACTACAAAAAAGGTCAAGCCAGAGAGCGTGCTCTGTCTTCTGTCAACGGAAGCTAACAGATGTCTCCGTAACTGCGCGCAGCATTTTTATAAAGGCCATATATTCCGTGCGCCAAGCCCCGCACAAATTTAGACGGAATGACCGATGTGTGCATCCCCGAAATCTCCTTTGTTGCTCCAATCTTCTGAAATACACCGGGATCTGAGGGCCGTTGTAAGAGGACATTAGCACCGTGGAATGACAAACGTCCTGCAGCTGAAACTGCGGATGCTGATGCGGAGACTGAGAACGCACATCCGGGGCAGTTCACTTAGGATGCATACCACGTTTGGCGTGTAGCCGCAGACAACAGGTAAGGTTTGAGGTGGAAGCTACCTTGCATTTTGCCGTATGTTGGCAGTACTGTGTACAGAAGTTCCCCACCGTGAAGGTTATTTGGTTCACATATGCCTACTTGACATAAGCTTCAAACCTGTTGGCGGGCTTATCCTACGAGCCTCGTTGCGGAGGGGCTGACTACAAAAATGCCATGGCGCGCTTTCAGAAGTTATTCTGCTGATGACGCACGATCTAAGTTTTTGTAAGCAAGACTATATTTCATAGACATGGATTATGGCTAGTTAACCCTTTGCGTTCATAAGGGCCACTCCTGATGCAAATCTTCAGCTGTTGCCTCTGCGGTGATAAGGCGGAAACGGGGGAGCTTCAGAGGAATAAGCCTGCGAGTCATCAGGCGCCACTAGAAACAGCAGTGCAAAAAGAGGCGAACCCCGCAGTCCAGCCGGAAAATGAAGGAGCTCCAGCGGCTTCCACGTTAATGCAGCCCCCGGCAGCAGATGAGGACGCTCCATTACAACTAGCTGCTGGAAGGCTAGCTAAGCACCTTCTGGAGCGCCAACCGAGCAAATCGAAAAGGTCGCAGAGCTCTTCATTTGGTGGAGCTGTAGGCCAGCGCTGGGTTTCCAATTTGGAAGGACCAGCAACAGAAAATTCTGGCAGCTCTGTTGCGGCAGGGTTGTTACTGCAGGTGAGGTTTAGCACCCAGCCGGTAGACGGATTACTGTTCCAAAACAGAACCGAATCAATGAGTTTCTCATTGTGGCACTGTATACGTGCCGGAGAGCCATTGCTGTGAGTGGCGACACCATTTCATTCGCTGCAACCGTGTGCCAAATGTAGGTGTCCGCTCCTTTTTGACGACATCTTGACGCTGCTCACATCATCAGGACACCATACATGATTACTTAAATTACTGACCTTTGAAATAATCCGAACTGCGCGAATTTGTGTCTGATACTCTGGCCTCCATACCTCGACACGCAGGAGGTGAAGCCTCTGTATGATCCCATTTCGGGACCCTCGGCCTCAAGGCTTGGGGCAACTTATGGCAGCATGATATCGCAAGGCACCACGCACACAGCTAACCACGCTGGCAGCCAGAGCAGCAGGTAACTATGCCCTCCCAGAAACATGCCCTCCTGTGTACCCTAGTCTGACTGAAAACAGCACCTGCACACGTTTCTGCACAACGCTACTCCATTACTTAAAGGAACGTCTGAAGGGCTTGCATAGTTGTGCTGGTCAATGCTGCAAGAACCAATTATGAGCAGACAATTTATTGGCCCTCGGGCGGGG